AAAGATCAAAGGGAACGCCATTCTTATTTTCTCTCTAAACAAAACTCCCTTTTATAAACTCTCAAAGTTTTAAAACTCACTTGATGCTTCTTTTTCTTTGAAAATGATTCCAGAAATATAATGGTTACTCTGGTGTGTAAATTCTAGCCATCAGAGTAAGGTTGGTATAATCAGAGACAGATTTTAAGAGGTCCAAACTTTATTAGTAACAAAATAATGCAATAAAACATGTAAATAAATCTGTTTGTTGAGTTATGAACTGTGTATAATCTGGTGAGATAAGTGAGAAGAAAGAAAAGTTGCTTAGAAGTGTTACTGATCCTTACTTAAAATTCAAATCAGATTTCTGTCCCTAATAATACTGAGCAGAATTAGTTTCCAATGGCTAATACTCTACATTCTTTGTTCATTTCCCAAAGTCCAGCTATTTCCTTCTAATTGACTCTCCGCATGAGCTTATATTCACAAACTGACTGAAGGGTGGCTTCTTATACAATTGACAAAAAAAATGGAGTACTACTACAGTTCAAAATGGGAAAAAATCTCAGTTGGGATCACAGTTGGGATCAGAATTTCTGTTGCCAAGCAAGGTGGTTATTAAGTGATTCACACCTGATTTTACGATCTCTTTGCCATGGTGATTAAGACAATTGCAGTTTTTAAATAAGCCATATGGTCGTTAAGCAATCTGGCTTCCTACATTGACTGCTTTTAAGAAGCTGGCCAGAAAGGTAGCAGATGCATTCACATGACTCAGGATTGCAACTATTGTAAATATATGTCAAGTTGTTGAGCACTTGAATTTTGATCATGACACTCTGGAAATGCTGCAACGGTTGTAAGTGCAAAGACCAGTTGTAATTTTTTTAGTGCCATTGTAACTTCAAACGGCTACTAAACAAATGTTTGTAACCATTTTAGAACTTCACTTGTCCTCAATGTATACCTTTCCTCATTATGTCTCCTAATGCAGCAGTGATTCTCAAATGTTTTGTAGACCTCTGATGGTCTTGTAGATCCACAAAGTGGTGTACTGCAACCTTCCGGCAGTCAGTGGGCTAGTTCACAACCCTCTGCATCAGTTCCTTCATCCATTCTCCATTCTCACCAAAAACAGATACTGATTCTTTTTTTTTTCCTAAGAAGATGAAGCAGACAAACTTTGTCTGCTTCAACTTCTTAGGGAAAAAAGAATTAGTATATGAAAATGCATATTCTGTAACATAGAACAAAAACAAGGAATATCTTTCTTCTCCAATAGCTAACAAATGCTAGTTTTGATTTACAACTTCCCATGAAATATCTTACCTAGAAATAACATGCTATATTGATCAAAAGCATGTTTCTGACATGATCAATTGTGGACTAGGCTAAAAATACATTTCTTTATATTTATATTGAGATGTTTAAAAACTGTCCTGCAAGTTCATACATCAGCAACTTTGTTCATAATAGTCTCCAGCCATGACAACTGGACAGGGTTTGAAAATTAGGGGGAATTTTGAAAGTGACCAAAAATACTACAATGTTATTATTGATAGGAGGAAAGCAATCATTCATTAGTTGATTGTGTATCAACTTTTGGATGATTTATAAAAAATAATCTCAGTAAATGAAATATAGTCTTCTTTGACTTTACAATTTGAAATTCAACTTTCTATAGTCTTGCAATATACTGTCTGCCCGGTGGAATTGTCTCAGATTGCTGCAGAAAGGAATTCCAAAAGTCCTTCCAGAAATGTTTCAACAAAAGGTGGAAGAAGGCAACAAAAACAGCTACCTCCCCCTCCCCCACCTCAACCTTTAATTAATTATAGGGCAAGGCAGTTAGTCTAACAATACAAAGGAACTCCCTTGATTGACAGGGCTTCATGACTGTAGCAACCATGGACTTGATCCATCTTATTTATGGTACAACTGACACACGATTGGACAATGGTATCACCCATGTTCCTCCTAGTTGTTAAAGCCTCCAGGAAGAGCCTTGAGTAATTGGAACCAAGTGATGGTTAACCCATCTGTGGAAGGGATGGTACTACTTGCATTGAAGGCGGTAGTGGGACACTCCTTTTTCAAGAAGGGAATAGGAGGAATTAGCATGGGATGAACCAGAAATTTTTGGAAGTTGCATTGAAAACTTTATCTGTGATGCTAGGTATTTTTCATTTTTTGTTGTATTTTTTATTTCATTTATTTCATTGATGGCATTTAATCCTTGCATTGTGAACTACAATTCAAGGAAAAACAGTCAGCCGTACAAATGTTTTAAAGAAATAAATAAAAGGAAATAACTTTTTCAAGATTTGAATGCTATGGGCAAATAAATAAAATATAGTCCCAGCATTTCTTATAGTAGTTGTTTCCTGATCTGGTCTTGAAGGTTTGCCTTCAAATTATGCCTAAGATGGTAGAACTGAAATCATGACAAATACCCATGTCTAGTATCAATGCAGGTATCCTCCAGATTTTACATGTTGAAATTTTCAGTTGTTCGATTTTAACGCAAATACCTAGAGAATATTTATTTTAAATTTAAAAAAATAATGCATGAACAGCTTTTATTTCACTTGTTATAGACCAGTGGCTGTGGCATTTGGCTTTGTGGACTGTTCAGCCTTCATAACTTTAAAGAAAGTGCTTGCCAGAGGATCTGGAAGGTTGCACTGTAAAGAATAAAATAAGTATCAGGGCAAAGGAGTATTATAATTACCCAATTTGAATCCCAGCAATGTTATCTTATTTTTTCTATTGTACTTGAAGCAATTTATTAATTAGGCGTAGATCAAATAGTGTAACATTTTAAGGCTGATCTGTTGTATTCTTGCAAAATGGCTGTGTGGTATTTCTGTTCTTGAATTGTCAACAGCCAACCAAACAGTCCGAAACCAGACCATGACTCAGAAGTAGCCAAACAAACATCCATACTAATTTGCATCACATAAAAAGGTATTTAAAGGCCAGTGTTCTGACAGATGAGTACAATTCAAAGTGCACTCACAATGTCTCCTTGAATGGTGATGAAATGTTTGCAATTGCCAAGCTTGGAGATCAAACCAACAGTCTGATTTCTATTGTCTGTTGTAATGACGAGGCAGTCGAGTTGTTTGATCATAAACAACTGAATCATGATGATCTTTATTGGAGTCTAGTCTTGCATTTATACATATTTTTAGTTATCCTCCATCACTGGTTAACTTTGGTTACTGCTTAACTTTTGTTACTGTTTAGCACAGTAATCCATACAATTAATTATCTCTAGTTAAAGTCTAACATATGTTTACTTCCTCTCTCTAATCCTTCTTTAGATTAGTGACTTTGTTTACCTGAGTTGTATTTGCTTGGAAACATTCTTTATCTGAGGTTTGCCATCCAAGATTGGAACATTCCTGCAATTACAACTCTACAGTTGTCAGTTCACGAATCATGACCAATTGCAAAGCACACCTTATGAGAAGTCCACTTGCCACTCTATCTGTTCCACAGAATGTTTGTTACCACTAGGTTATAGATTTTTTTTTTCTGGGCAGTTATGTGCACTTCCTAATTATACTGCAGTTATTCACCATTCATGTTTTCTAACAAAGCTTAAGACACATTTGGGATCCAGGGACATAATTGGAAACAAAACAATATTGTTACACTTCACTATGCAGTTGTGATAGCGTTTCTTTCCTGACTTAATCCTGATTTTCCAATTTTGTGCTACATGACACGTGCACAAACATCTGCAACTTACACTCCTGCTTACAGAAGCGTGGCTGAGGTTTGGATTGTGGAAGCATTAGCCTTAAGAAAGTGAAATCCAGATCTACTTCTGACGCAGGCAGTGCTGGGGAATTAAAATTCCTCAAGCTCTTAAGAAAGCACCGGAAAAGGAACTGTGAAAAGATGGCTTGTCACTGGTTAGGTGATTAAGCTACTTGTGTAGCTAAATGGATTTTAATAGATGACAAAATAAATCAGCAAGATCCTAGAAGCAAGCACAAAAGTGAACTAGAATGAACACTCCCAGCCCCCTCTTTTTTTTAAATTCCCCTACTTTTTCATTTCTCAGTACTCTTTTTTATTCCACTTATCCTTTTTCTTGCCTAAATTCTGATTGCTTCATTATAGTTAGAAATGCTTCTATATAAGAGCTCTGAAAAAATAATTCCTTCTGTAGTACCCTGTACTCCTTAGTCAGAAGAATAAAGGGGATAAAGGAAATTCATATTCTGTTGCCCCAACTGCCATAAGAGAAGTAAGTGCTTTGGTACAGTTCATTCCACTTCCATTTTTAAAACAATGTAAGTACTCATTTTTAGAAAACAAACAGGTACTGTACTGCTGCTGAAGCTGCAAATAAATCCCAACTGATTATTACTCTAAAAGAAAACTACAAATTTTGTAATCAAGCAAAGAAAGACTGGGGACAATTACTGTATTATGACAGTATATTATGATTCTAAAGCAAAAAACACCACACATATGGAATCATCTTGGATATTTTTTCCTACAGATAACTACAATGTTATGAGAGAGAAATCCTGATTTGCCACAAGATTCATCTGCATTCATTAAACACAATACAACTGAACATAATCTTCTGAAAATTTCACCTTCTGGCACCATTACTATATTTCTTTGTCCTAAAATTACCTGGAAGCATTTTACCATTATCAAGAATTTGCCATTAATAATAAGTGCAGCAGTTACTACGCTAGGAAGTTTCTCAATTTTTAAGTACTGTGGGGGTTATTTACTAAATCTAAATTAGTTGTCAATTTGCATCATTTCCATAACCATATAAGTGACACAAGCGAAGTTATTTGCAGCAAAATCTTAATTTAAAAGACCACTGGTTATCTGGTAAATCTATTTTATGTATATCGGTTATGTAAATATATAACTGATATAAATATAATTTGCAGTGAAAACCCAAACTTTGATTTTCATTAGTCCATTAAAAAGTCCAAACACAAAATACGTTCATTGCATCTGAAGTCTGTAAAACCAAGCTCTATTAAACCAAGTTTTATTTATATTTCAAATATGAAACTATATTTCAAATTAAATAACCAAAGCAATGGCTCACATCTCCTAAGTAACCATACATAAAAATTCCCATTATACCATTTGCACTAATCCAATATATTGTCATGATACTTTGAACTAAGGTCTTTGCTTCCAACATGCATTTTTGTATTTAATACAGACATAATCCATTTTTTTTGCTAAGAGCAAAAAAATATAAAATATAAGTAAATTATTCCATCTTTTAGATCTTGCTAACCACTTTGTGACATTTGAAAGTATTTTGACATTCATTGGTAACATAAATTTTGCGACAGGATTTTTCAACTACAATGCTTTGTCCCTGCTAGAAAATTTACATTGGTATGTTTTATTTTTGTATTCCTTTAACAAAAGATACAATCCTTCATAAAAATAAATCTCTCATGCTAAAAATCTGAAAAGTTAACAAATCTTCTGAAGGGGTTTCAACTTTGCAATCGGTTTATTAAACTAAAGTTCATGAATCTATTAACAGAGGTGATGGCTTCTGTATCATTATATACAGAGAGAAATCAACATCTTCACTTATGCATAAGCTTCAGGCAATATCGTATTAGCAACAATAGACTAAAGCAAGACTCAGAAGTCTTGTTGGATGTTTTCTTTATTTGCCTCTCCATGTTGCTGCTTAATTTGAGAAATTTCATTTTCCAACTGCACAATAGTTCGTTCAATCTCATAATTTTTACTGACAAGTGATACCCATCTAGAAAAAAAATGAAAGAAAAAACATTGTAAATGAATGTGCTAGTTTTATTGCTGAAAGAAGGAATATTCACCTTAGAGTGTGCAATACCATGTCAATAAAAGATAGCAAAGCAGTGCAAAATAGCATATTATGTAGTAGAATGTGCTTAACACAAACAGAACTTCACCTGAGATGACAGAAATAACACGGCTGTCATTGGAAGGAAAATAATAAAGGGACAACATGAAAAGGCAACACCTTAATACTGCACAGAATTGCTAATACATAGAAACAGGGATTTACAATCTGGTCCTTATAATAACTCATGTTTGCTTAACTATGTTAAGCGAGTTGTTGACCAAGTCACAATTGCCAAGATTTACAAATTATGCTAAACCATAAGCCATTTTTAACAAATTATAATGGCTGGATAGCCAACGGAACAAAATAAACTACCCTATGTCATGGCATGACACACATCAGGTAACTTGGAAAAGTTATTTTGTAACATTTAAGCTCCAATAATCTGCTCCATATTGAATTTCAAAAAATTCTTATTTATTTCTTTTTTTTTCAAAAGAGAAATAAAAAAACTTGCAATTGCTAACTTCTATTTCTACATATGGAAATGTTTTATAAATTAAAAACCCAGTTACATTTTAACAGATTAATTCAGTAGTTCTGCAGAAATTGTTTTAAAAGTAGGTGAAATACTAGTGAGAAAAACTACTCACGTGGATTCCATTTCACGAAGTTTAGCACCAGCTGTGAGTTGCATGTTCTTACGCTGCCAATTAAGGTCTTGTATGTGTTTTCTGGAAGAAAGAAAATGGCATAATGAATTAAATAGTAATTTATTCCTCAGCCCAATACCTTAAGATAATAATCCTTAGAGTTACAAACACTCATAATACTGGTCTTTAAAATGACATCACAAAAATCAAACAGCTCACTGGATACACTTGGAGCATCTCAGAAAGCTCAGTGAGAAAAGCAGGATAGTTTTAGATTCTAGATGTGTTAACCAGAAAGGAATGGCAATCATTTTGGACTATCATTGTGCAGATATGCCTCCAAACTGTAACAGAATGAAGACCCCTACTGTAACAACCCCGATGCAGAACACCTAAGATTTATTTTAATTTTATGTAAATTATTTTAAATATTTATAAATTCTATTTATTATTTATATCTTAATAAATGAAAATATTTCCCATCAACTTTAAATAATACTGCAAACCAACAACTTTTACCCATTAGAAAAGATGTTTCAAAAATCTAATTTTTTTTTACCATCCTGGCAGAATCATGGGTGCTGTTGGTAGATGAATTTTAGTATGTTGTAATGATTGGAGGTTTACGTTTTTGGTTGAGTTGTGGTAGAGCCTTTTGAGATTGTCACCAAAGCAGAGAGAACAGGACTGGTTTACTGTCTATCTTATGCTTTGTTTGGACTTGGAAAGCCAAGAATCTAGTGTGTGTGAGAGAGAGAGGAGGGCGAGGGGGAGAGAGAGAACTAAGATATTTGCCCTATTGTTCAGATTGCTGAGCAGGAAACACAGTTTATTAAGTTGGGCACCAAAGAGGGATCAGTTGGGCTTGTTGCTATTGCACTAGCACCCTTCTGCATACAAACCTCCCTGCTTGAGCTTCTTGACATTATGGTTGGGCTGGTGGTAGTTTCCCCTTATAGTCTTGGGGAACTTTAATTTGCCTTTCCTGCGAATCTCTGGGGTCAGAGAAAGCTCAAGAGTTCATGGGCCTATCCCAAGTCATCCAGAGCCTAACACATAATAGTGATAATGCACCTGACCTGGTTTTTCTGTCAGAGCAGTAACAGTGTTATGGATTTGGGGACATAGGCAGAATCTGTGGCTGCAGGGGCCAGGTTTTGTATGGTTATCTGGGAGGACTGAGCCAGTTGAAGCCTGCAGATCCTAGTTTGGTCATTGCAGTGTTAGATCCATGTGTCCAACTCTCTACCCCAAGTTCTCTGAGTGATGTGGTGAATATCCTGTCCCAGTATCTGGAGACTGTGAGGGTCTGGACAGGCTACAAGTAAGACTTAATGCGTAGCTGGATTACTGCCCAGGATAGAACCAATGTACAAGATGTACATGCTTGAAGAACAGGTGACAGCTGTAACTAGGAGGTCCTTTGCATACCTTTGAATGGTGAAACATGGATGGTACAATTGTGCCCATTCCTGGACCCGCAGACTCTGCTCAGAGTCACCCATGCACTGTAACCTCTCCTTTGGATTGCAACATGCTTTACATAGGGCTATCATTGAAGAACATTTGAAGCTTTAATTGATATGGGTAGTATCAGTAATATTGCATAATACCACTACTTTGTGAGCTGCATTGGTTACTGGCATTTCCAGGTGCAATTCAAGGTTGTAGTTGTTTCCTTTAAAGCCCTCCATGGCTTTGGACCGGGTTATCTAAGGGACCATCTTTTGCCAATAGCTTCTATCCATCCAAATCAGTACAGCACATTGGGCAATGCTGTGAGTCCTGCCAGCCAAGAAATTATGACTGGCAGGGATCAGAAGACATGCATTGTCTACTCTGGTCCTGTTCTTTGGAACATCCTTCCTTCAAAACCAGAATGGCCCTGACTCAGTTTGTTTTAAAAAACTGGCTATGTGCCCACCTGGGACTCCTAATGTGTTAAGGGTGCTGTTTCTTGATTATACTGACAACTGTTATGACAATTTTCTCAGATGCTATATACATTTTTGTATTTTTAATTGTTTTACTACCCAGAGGGCAGTCCCCCCAGATAGTTATAGAAAATAAGTAAATAAATAGTTTTCATAAAATTTGTGTTTTTCTTATATAAATGGAAGTCTGGTAGAATCTGTGGCCAAGAAAATTTTTGCTCAATTTAAGCTAAGTTACCAATGAGGATAAAAATGATGGAAACAAACTCCACAACTTTGTTTCTTCTGACTGAAAGCAAAAGCAGCTCTTACCTTAAACTTTGTAGCTCTTTCTGTGCCTGTTCAATCATGTGGACTAAATGCCTAATTAGCAGACAAAATACAAGTTCATTATATTATTCAAATATAAAAAGGAAAAATAATGAAGTATTATTTCACAATAATTCTACGTACCAGACTTGGTCATCTGAAGGTGGAACTAACAGTAAAAGGATTTACTATGGAATAGTGGTATTATGGTAAGGTTTATAGCCCCTGCTACATGGAACAGTATAGGCCATTTTGCAAATACAAACTTATGGTGTTTAAATAAAGTAGTAGGTTTTCCTATGTTGCAGTACTACAAATGATTATCAAGATCGCAGCTCTAACAAAGATGTCTATGGTACAATGGAAGCCTTAGTGCCAGACTGGGGACTCATTTTTATTAAAACTGAACATTCAATATTTATGAGTTAAAGTATTTTACCTGGATAAAATAAACAACAAAGCTTATTTAGTTCCCACATCTTTTATATTTACTGCTGTTAATTTACCATCTTTTAAACCTGACACTAAAAATATTAAAGTGTAAAAACACCTGATCTATTAAAGGAAGTTACAAAACATATTTTGCATATGCCTGCTGTGTGCTACAAAGAAAGAAAGAGTACAGGCTGTCATGGACTTCAAGTAGTTCATTTAGTCATCACTGGAAGTTATAATGGCACTGGAAAAAATGATTTATGACTGTTTTTCACGCTTATAGCCATTGCAGCATCCCCATGGCAACTGTTTATGATGGTTGCAATATTCCGGGATTATGTGACCCTTTTCTGTGACCTTCAGATAAGCAAAAACATGGTTGAATCTGGAGTCAGATTCAACCATGTTACTAACTTAACAACTGCAGTGATTCACTTAACAAATGTGGCAAGAAAGGTTTTAAAATGGGGTAAAACTCACTTATCAAATGTCTCCCTTAACAACCTAAATTCTGGGCTCAATTGTGGTCATAGGTCAAGGACAATTTGTATTAGGTTTCAGCCTCAACAGAAAATGTGTGTTTCCCATTCCATCAGAAAATAAATTAGATAATCCTCATTTGGTGACCAAAATTGGGACCAGACATCATGACCTTATTTCATTTTACCTTTGCTTTACTGACCTGAAAAGGTCCTAAATGCAAGATTTGATCATAAAGTTACTTTTTCATTGCCCCTGACAAGGTCACTAAATGAGGCAGTCACTAAACAAGAACTATCTGTAGCTATATGTTGGATTCATATCAATCTTAATTTACCAATTAAGTCACTTGACAGCATTCTTTTATTACCAAAAAAAATGAAGGCCCCCAAATGGAAATGGAATACCAAGTCTTGTAGATAACCTCTTTCAAAGAATAACTAAGGCTAAACAAACCAGCTTACTCATTATATACTTTCCAGCCATTGCAGCCATACTGAGACATCAACTCCAAATTTTCAATTCGAACTGCTTGGTGTTCCAGTTGAGCCATCGAGTTATTGACACATTCTTGCCATGCTGTAATATCATTCTTCTGCCCAGAGGAGGGTGCAGGCAGCTCATATCTTTAATGAAAACGAGAGGAAAAATCATTGTATCTCATTAGAATATAAGTGATAATAACCCATTATTTTTAAGATTTAAACTTATAAATGTATCGGTTCTGTAAGTTAAACATGATTCAAATACCATATTTTTTGTACTATAAGATGCTCCAGACCATAAGACACACCTAGCTTTTCGGGAGAAAACAAGAATTTTTTTTGCCTCTGCCTCCCAGCAATTTGCCGCCTTGCACCAAACAGCCAACAGCCTGGTCAGCTTCAGCACAGCCTGATTTAGCACAAGCAGCTGCTTGGCAGCTGGATCAACCTCCCAGAATACCGCCGATCTGCTGTTCCAGGCTGCGGGGATTGCTGCCGAACATGGTCACTTCTGCATGCCACATTTTTGGCCTCCGCGCACCCCATTTTTGGCCCGTTCCAGGCAGCGGGGATCAACACTGTCAGAAGTGATCGGCACCTGGAACGGGCCAAAAATGGGAGGCCAAAAATGAGGCACACAGCAGTAATCGGCCACAGCAATGGCGATCCCCGCAGCTTGGAGCAGCTGATCAACGTTATTCCAGGAGGTCGAGCCAACTGCCAATCAGCTGATCTTGTTAAGTTAGGCTGTGCTGAAGCTGACCAGGCTGTTTGCTGTTTGCTACAAGGAGGCAAACTGCTGGGAGGCAGAGGCTCAAGGGTGGGGGCCGGTGGGCGGGCAGAGCTTCGGCAACATTGGCTCTGTAAGAGACACAGACATTTCCACCCACTTTTTTTTGGGGGGGGGTGTCTTATAGTGTGAAAAATACGGTACCTGAAAATTCTAGGCTTATACCAACAGAAGTAATGATTCACGGTTTGATTTTTCCCAAAGATCAATATTTGTAAAATACATATCCCTCTTTTCTCTGTAACTCCAAAACCATTCTTTTTTTTTAAGATTAAAAGAATTACTGATTACTGACTAGTTCTTGCTTGTCACAATGAGGTAAGAAGTAAAATAATAGTTTTTAATAATCCCAAATTTTACTTCTATGTTTTGCCTTAGTATAGATTCAGACACTGTACCTACAAATAGCTAGCCTTACCTTTTCATGCTCAGTAATTCTATAGGTTGCCGAGCTGCTAAGCGTTCAAACTCATTTCTCATTATTTCAGTCTATGAATCAAATTAAAGACACATTAGTTATATCCCCAAAAGCAGGAGGTGAAAGATTATAATCAATGAATTATGCAACAGCCATACATGTATTATACATGTCTTATCCCATTTGATTATCTTTTGGTGGTTTTGATTATAAACCACTTCTTGGGCAGTGCATTGATCATCATAATCAGAAATAGAGATCTGTGGAATTAGTTTTCCTGAATTACAATTGGAGGATGTCATTTATACACATATCTCTGCAACCAAAGTTTCACATTTGATGCAGGGTAAATTATCCATTCATAGCTAACCAGATGAATACAAACCAAACAGCAATACTACCTATGGAGAAAAATCCTAAAATTAAGAACCCCTCATTTCTTTCCTGTGAAAGGAATGCTAATTTGCCAACATGCACTTCACAAATTATTGACCTGAAGTCTGTTATTTGAACTGGAAAATATAATTCTTACTTTAAAAAAAGCAAGATACAAAACATCTGATGAATGAATGCAGATAATCCTGTGCAATTTGCCAGATAGTAAATTTTATGGGACAAAGCACCATTACTATCAGTTTTTGTGAGCCAAAAGTCCATTTCTGTTATATGAAACATACTTTTGGTTATTCTAGTCTATGAAAGTGTTACTGCAATTGCAAATAAATGTGGCAATTTCAAGTCTTTTTTTTCCAATTTGTTCTAATACAGATGCTTTTCTAAAATGTCTACATTTACCCAGAGTCCCTCCACATAGCCTAGGTTATGGTTTAACATTGCAAACAGATCTGTTATGGGGATTTTTGTAAGATATTCAGAAATTAGAAGCGTGCAATTTCTGCAGCACAATCTTGATGATGTCATTCCACCCCATTCCATCTGGTCCATTCTATTGGTAAAGGATTTTTTTCTTTTTAAAGTATTATAGAAGTTGCACATAGAACATACCCACACAAATAAGGAGAAGCTTTGAAATCTGTCTTTAGCATTTGAAAGGAAGAGAGGTAATACATTTCCTCTACTTGCCACCATTTCTGCAGAGTATATTATGTTTGGGGCAAGTGCTACTGTCCCTTCCCTGTCCAATCACCATGCCTTACAAAATCTGTTTTTATTAGAAATTCTTGTAAGCAAGCAAGCAAGAAAACAAGAATTGTGGGCAAGGTCAGAACTACTCCTATTTCTAAACAGCAAACCTGCATCAGGTATAGTGTCAATAAAGCATAAGTCAACCAAGCAGATTTCACCCTCCACCAATATCATCTGTGCGCTTGTGTTCCAAAATGTCTGAAATGTAGACCAAAATTCAACTCCCAGAATTCTCCAGCCAGCATAGGAGTTGAAGCCCCCAAATCTTAAAGTTCCCAAGATTGGGGACCCCTGATGAAGACTCTTAAATGGTTTCAAGGAGAGGCCTTTCCTCAATCTAGTGTTCCCGTGATGGGCTGGACTCCAACTTCCATAATTCACACGTAGGGAATTCACGTGTAGGGAGCCGGCGTTACACTCCCTGAACGGCAAGAGCAGCGCAGTCACAGAAAGGGCGCCCGGGGGCCTGATCTCACGCGAAACACGAGTCGCGCTCACCTCGAAAGTGTTGTAGTCCGGCGTAGTCAGGTAGCTCAGATAGTTCTTGGTGGGTCTGTAGCGCCGCGTCTCCTCCTCCACCAGCGCCGCGGCCTGAGAGAAAAGCGGACAGCGACTCGTTTAGCTCCTCCGAAAGGCGCAACGGACCCTAGCCCGCCTCCCGCCTTTTTCGACGCGCCACTCTTACCGCTTCCCGGACGCCCGGCGCTTCATAGCCTTGGTCGAAGTAGGGCAGCGCATCGACAGCGACTTCGCCCGCCACTAAGCCCGAGCCGGCCATACTGACCGCGCAAAAGCCCTTTCCGCTTCTCAGTTGCCCCGCGACAAAGCTCTACTTAGGCCTCTCCTCCTCTTACAGCGCCTGCGCGGATGTACGCTTTAGCCTAGGCTCCTCCGCCTGAAGTTTACTCTCAGCTTGGCTGACTGAAGAATTCTGGGAGTTGAAGTCTTAAAGTTGCCAAGGTTGGAGGCCCTGGAAATCCTCCGGCCAATCGGTATCTTTGCATCGCGGCGGACATCACGGAGCTGCTCGATCGCCCCTCCCTAGCTCATGCTGTTCGGATGATTGGACTTCAGGTCCTGCGCTTGCGCACTACTGTAGCTTGGCAAAATGTATTCGGGGAGTTGCTGTCCAACACGTCTGAAAAACATGAGACTCAGTAAGGAGTTTGAGGAAGCACGTATCTTACTTTGCACATTTCCAGGATGGGCTATTGATCCTGGATTCGTCCCAAATGTAGGCAAAAAGTACATTACGAAGTCAACTGCTAAAAAAAAGATGAGACATTCCTTAGTGAGCTAATGTCAAAATAATCATCTCCCTTGCCATCTATAGCAATGTTTTTCAAACTTGGCAACTTTAAGATATGTGGACTTCAACACCCAGGATTCCCCAGCCAGCTTGAAAAAGAAAATGGGTGGGGGGGGTGCAAAGGTATTGGGTATTAAATTGGCTTAACGTGTTTTGGATTCCATTTATGCTTGCTCTTTACTGTTGTTCAGAATGTTTTGCTCTATGTCTTACAGAATGTAAGAATGTTTTGCTCTATGTCATTAAAGTGCCAAAAGCCTCCAAGTTGTTCCCCTGGTTGTTTTATAAATCAAAAGGCTGCCTCACATTTAGAAACTTGCCATCATAGTATTATTGTATATACTATAATTACTACTGTAGAATAATATCAATAATAAAGGAACATTCAGTCAATACCATAGACAAGGTAGAATAATCGTGAAGCCTTGGAAAAGTTATTCAAGATGCTGGGAAGTATATCAAAAAGAGCAGTAGCAAACTGGATGTAGACTAGCAATGGGTACACTGCTGAAATACTCAAAAGACCAAACTGAAGACAAATCCTCCTGGAGAAAATATATATATGTGGTCACTAAGAGTCAGCTCTGAATCGAATTATCTTCAATCACTGGCAGCACTGTTAGGCAGACTAGACCATGAAATAAACTCCCAGGAAGGCTAAAACTACTTTTATTGAGATTGGCTATAACAGCAGTATCTTACAAGTCTAATTACACTGCACCACAGCTCCCTTCTTATAATTCAGTAAATGGGAGAATTTACTGTATCACTTCTGAATATTATCTGGACATTCTGGTCTTAAAAAGAAAATGCCTTACCTCCACCTGCATACAGTATTTCCATCAAGATCTTCCTTGCTCTCTACAATTATCTTGAATTATGTCCATAAATTTACAGCAATTTCTAACTAGCTTCCTAATAGACAGGAAGCAGCAGGTGAAGCTAGGCAGCTAACTTCTAACTATGAATCCTCATACAGATGGGAGGTTGTACAACTTGCTTCATAGTATAACTGGAACAATCTGGAACTGAACGCACTCAAAACCATAGAAATGGTGGTAGACTTTAGGAGAAACCCTCCCATACTACCACCTCTTACTAGACAACACAGTATCAACAGTAGAGACCCTCAAATTTCTAGGTTCTATCATTTCACAAGACCTAAAATGGACGCCTAACATCAAAAACGTCATCAAAAAAGCACAACAAAGAATGTTCTTTCTGCACCAACTCAGAAAGCTCAAACTGCCCAAGGAGCTGCTGATTCAGTTCTACAGAGGAATTATTGAGTCTGTCATCTGCACCTCTATAACTGTCTGGTTTGGTTCTGCAACCCAACAAGACAGACACAGACTTCAGGGAGTAATTAGGACTGCAGAAAAAACAATTACTACCAACCTGCCTTCAATCAAAGACCTGTATACTACACAAATAAAAAAGAGGGCTGTGAAAATATTTACAGACCCCTCACATCCCGGACATAAACTGTTTCAACTCCTACCCTCAAAACAACACTATGCAACACTGCACACCAGAACAAAGACACAGGGCAGTTTTTCCCGAATGCCATCACTGTGCTAAACAAATAATTCCCTCAACACTGTTCAACTATTTACAAAGTCTGCATTACTATTGCTATTAATCTTATCACCCATCCCCTTCCACTTGTGACTGTTGTATGACTGTAACTTTGTCACTTGTAACCTTACGGTTTATATTGACTGTTTCCTAGTATGATTTGATTGCTTACTGTACCCTATGACTGTTATTCAATGTTGTACCTTATGATTCTTGACTCTTGACGAATGTAAATTTTCTTTTTGTGTACACTGACAGCATAAGCACCAATTCCTTGTGTGTCGAATCACACTTGGCCAATAAAGAATTCTATCTACCTATTAATGCATTTCTGTCAAGCAATAGTATTCATGAGATAGGTCACATTCTACACATTCTGTAGCTATCAAAACTCATTAAAAACTTTAAAATATATACATTCAACGTATAGTGAAGCCATTGTTGTGTCCGCCTGGTTTTATGTGTTGAGCAGGAACTGAAGAAAAATTAGAAGTATACTGGACACTAGACACACAACTCCAACAGATAAAACAAAGATTCATCAAAACACAAACATAGTACACTTTATTCCCAAAAGATTTTGATTTCTGATAATTTGATCTTTGTACATACAGTTTTGGTTTCTTCTATACAGCATAAATTAAGAATGAGCAAAACAATATTCAGCTATGAGGAAATCATGATTGATTGCTGAGAAGTACCCAGTCTTAAAGAACAAGTCTGGGGCTAGATTAACACAATTACTTCTCAAAAGCGGGCATGGCTCATTTTCCCTGTTCTTCTGAGTACTATAAGAGCATAGATTAAGTGCTGAAATATACTCCAAAAAGAAATTCTTAATTGCTGCTATTCATGAAACAGGGAGGGTGTTACATTTTCCAAAGCCATATTCTGAAACCTGCAAAGCAAAGCAACTAATTCAGATTCTGTTTGTGTTTGGGACTTGTGTCAAGTGTTATATGTATATTGTGCTTCTGATATACTCTAGTATAATCTTCCCCAATTGTTGCCTTCCATATAAATAGGACTGCAAGATTGATCATAGTAATTGAATTCTGAATCCCAACATATTTAGAAGATGCTGTGGAGGACAAGGTTGACCCCATCCAGGGACTGATCCACATTTCTTCCCTTCCAGTACAAAGATGGCTGCATAAATTGTTTGTGTTATGTGTTTTGTGTGGAGGAATGGAAAGCATCAGCCTCAGTTCACCTCTAGGCTTCTGGGAAGGCAACCATCATTTGATATAAAGAGTGGTATTTCATCCACTCTTCTGGCACAAGCAAGACAGTCTGGTCCACCAATTGCACTTCATTCCATCTTACACAAGTTTCTGTTCCAGTTGCTGTGGCAAATACGCCTCCCCCCCCTCCATTCTTATAGTGTCTTAGAGGCCATTTATATTGGCATGCATACCACGACAGGATGGAGCTTGATCTTTTTATACAGTAGCCCAGTAGTGCAATAGTAAATGCTGGACATTTTTCTCTTTTTATTTTAACACATTCAGCAGTTTTCCCTTCCAGCCTAAGAGACAGGAACTGTGGTGATGCATGTTCAGCCAAGGATGATGAAAAGCTTGACACTTCTTGGTTTTCTTTTGTTTTAACTGGGTGAAACTGACAAGAGTTCTGCCAAGTTTTCCTTTTTAGATCCAGTGATAGGAAGAAACACAATCTTTTTGCTTTTTTTCCTCCCAGTCCTCAAAATAGAATGGAAAGCAACTAGCACCAATTTTCACAGCATAGGCAGAGTAAAAGCGGAAGAGGTATTATTAATCATAGGTCATGTTAATCACAGTCCAAGTAGAATACCTGATCATCACTATGACCATAATAAAGAAACAGATTGAAATCCAGAAACAGATTTCTTAAACTACTTCATTTTCAGGGTATTTATTTTGGGAAATAAGGAGCTGAAGACTGCAGAAAAACCCTCAGTCTGAACCACCACATGAGTATCAACCTGCAAGTAAATGTCACCAGATTCTAAAAAGTGCTGTTCTGAATTTACTTACATTGGGTGGGATGTTGAATTTGGCCAAATGAAAATAAAAATGACATTTCCTAAGCCTTTCAATAAATTGTCTGACACTTCATGGAGAATCAACAAGTCAAACTTCTGCCTATCCTTTCTGTTTCAAAGATGGACAATGTTCATATTCTCTGAGTACAGCTTGAATTCATGATAAAATTTCACCAGTTTTTTGATATTATCTTCCTATGAAGCTACTGAATTCCCTTCTTCTTAGACAGATCTACCTTATATACTGCAAGGGAACAAGACTCAGTAAACAGTTCCCATTAAAAGCAGCATTTTTTTTGATAAGAGGCAAACCACAAACTTGTTTTCTTCCAAAGGACAATTTAACCACATCCCTTTCACTTGGGACATTTTTGCTCACAAGCAACATAACATAGTCTAAAACCTTTCATTTTTGTAAACCTGTGGCAACATTTAACTAGACAGGAGCCATATACCGTGCAAAAGATCTGCAGAGGTGAATGTAACTAATCATGAGATAGCTGTAAGTCTGTATCATAACAAACCATGATTTAATCATTATTTATTACATAAATGATATTTGGCTGAGTATATTCATTACAACAAGCCAATGACCATGGTCTAAAAGCCACAGTATCTGGATTCACACAACACAGACTGCATTTTGGCTTAGGTCAATGCGTGAACCTAGATTTTCTGTCATATTTGATTAATGTGTTATGTGAATCCAATATTTAGGTAATAAATCCTAAGAAGATTATATCAAATGCTAGGCATCTCCAGGGGTGGCTAATAAGAAAATTCAATATTTATTGAAAGCAGTTGACAGATGTAACGTTAAAAGAAGAAGCATATTGTTGATAATATTCAGCTATGAGGAAAGAGTAGAATGATGCTTCAATAATTTGTTATTCCAGTTTTTACTGAGACCGCATGAAAGTTATCATCTGTCCCTTTCTGCAGCAAATTAGTCTATTTCAATGTCAACATCTTGACTTTGAAAAATATTCATACTCCATTTGGGAAAACAGTCTTCTCCTGACAAGTAAACAATACTTTAGCATGAGGTATATCCTCTGTCATATATGAGCTGGACTTGTAATTAGACAGTGTGTACATTCACAACAATTAAGACTAACATAGCAAACAGTCTTTTACTTTCAAAAGTGAGAAAGAAAGCTTTACACTGTAGTAATATGTCCAAACAATACTTAACATGAATTATCAAGCCAACAGAACATGTGATGCGATGGTGTTAGAGTCAAGGAGTGATTATAACCTCCAAACAGCTTTAGGAAAGGCTTTCTTGTGCAAAGAATCTATTCAAGGAAATATTGTCATAGCCACTTTGCTGGAATCCTGATTCTTTCCTGGTTTCTTCCTCTTTTTAATAGGTATCAGCTGAATCCTTGAGATTGCTTTGAGTTGAAGCCTTTGCTTTGAGCATATTTTTAATAACACGAGGAACAAGGAAGAATCTTTTCCAGCCATGCAGTATAAATAAGGATATGGTTTCTGCTGTTATTTCTGCTTTATAAATCATCTCTGTAAACAGGAGTTCATTTTTTGCTCAGTAATATTCCAACCAGACCAAGCAGAACAGAGATCAAACAAGCTGTTCATATTTGGTGCTCATTTTTCCAGCCAGCTGAAGTTCTTCACGTGGGACCTGAAGAATCTAATAGAAGACCACAGCGACAAAGCCATCTCGTTATGGCTTGCCAGGATCGTAAAATAAAGCTTAGCGATTCTGCATTTGGCTTTTCACTTCTTTTGTAGAAACTTCATCTTATTACCTAAAATACAACAGGAGATTAAAAGGTTGATATATTACCATGTGGAAGACAATTGCAAATAAAATACTCAGAATTTTGACTCAGACAGACAGGTTTGTTTATCTGAGTCAAAATTCACAGTGACTAATTTTGACCAGTAGAATTTTAGACTTGGATTTTTCAGAACAGAAAATTTTCACTCAGGGTATGTTAGAGGAAATGCAATATTTTAAAAGTATCTCCCAACACACTCAAAAGTTAAATACAGTTTTTGAGGATCTCCAGATCCCCCTATAAATGTGATGCAGGGAGTGTTAAGCAGGCTTTTAGGAGCAACACCCCAATCATACAATGTTTATTGAGAGAAGAGAAGACAGAACACGAAGTTTTATACAAGAAATTTGCCTGATGGAATCCAAACAGTTTTCATCTCCTGAAATCTTAAGCTTCTTTATCACACAAACTGCAGCATTCTGTTTTGAGTGATCGTGAGGAAGGGATGATGATTGCAATTTACAACTGACATTTCAATATGCCCAGAACAGCTCTTTCAGCCTTGATCTTAGCATTCTAAATACTGTGCATGTAATTTTTAGAATTACATTAATTGGAGCAAGTTCAGACAAATTACCTACTTTAATAACAAACACTGCTGCCCAAATTATAGCCAAGGACTTGCAGAAGTATAAGACAAGAGCAACAGGAAGGAGGGAGTGAAGCTGCCCTGCTTGAGCCTTCTCACCACGTGTGGTGCCTAGAGGTGAATATGGCTGCCTCGGACTTTGACCAGGAGGACAGCTATTAGAAGTTGCTTTAAATTCAGTTTGTTTAGATCCCAGTATTAACTTCCAGTGCAATGCTCTAGATTTTCACTAGGCAAAAATATCCACCTACGAGTTCAGGTAACTGACTATGTAACTGTTAACTGAATAACTGTTAACAGAAGCAGTTAACACAAAGGTTCACTGATCCATTTACATCATATTGCAAAATCGATTTCTTAATACTGTAAGTGGCAAAAAGAGCACTGGGGAACCTAAGATTTCAAAATCAAAGATGAGGTTAATATATTGTGCTAAGCCACAACAAGGATTACAAATGTTGATTAAAAGATTTTGGAAACTGAGCAGCATGAGTGGCTTATAGATTACCATGCAACATGAGGCCAGTTAAGGGTAGTAATCAAGAGACTAGTGTGGCTTAAAAAGTTAAAGTATTGGACTGACATCAGGAAGATCCAAATTCAAGTCCACCCACTGGCACAGAAACTCACTGGATGACTTAGGTCATCTCTCTTAACTCAATCTACCACAGAACTGTTGCAAGCTCAATGCCATGGACTGCCTTGATCTCCTGAGGAAAAGTAGACTATAAGGGTAAATAATAACATAGCTCAGCTGAAGTGTAAGTTTCAATTAAAACATAAGAAGAAAAAGTTAAAGTGTAAGAGGCAAAAGTTCTTCCCCATCTACATTACTGAATTTCTGTTTGGATATTAAAGATAAGGATTCTAACCCTCCACTAAACAAAGTTAGACAGTCATACCATAAAAATCATTCCAGCTGTCAGTACCATTTTAGGAATCAAAGTAATATTATCAAGGTCAGAGTGAATCAAAAACAACTAGATTAACCAAGAGCAAATCTGAAGGTGACTCACCCAGACTGCGAAGGATTTTGTTCATTCCACTTGGCTCAGACTCTGGAATGGTCTGCAAGTATTCCAAGGCACGAACTTCAAACAAGCCTTGAAAAAGAAAGCAAGATTTCAATAGATGTCTTTGCTACAGAAAGAATCCTTTTTTTAATGTCTATATTTTAAAAATTGAGCTCTGAAGAAGCAAAAATATACATAGAAAATCAGAAGGCTTTGTAAAGGATGTTTGAAACTCATGGGTAGAAAATCTCTCAATTCTCCAGCATCGAAGTTGGATGAAATATGCAACATACAACTCACTACAGAAATATGCATGTGTGTGCGTGCGTGCAGACTCACAAATTATACAATTTGCATGGATTAATGAATAGATGCACACCACTCCCCATGTTTGGAGATGGAGTTTTACGATTATTTCTCAAATAAAAACAAGGATGTTTTCCCCCCCACCCCTTTGCTCAACTATGAAAGCAAATGTTGAAGTTAGGACAGACCTCACGAAAGGCACAATTTCTTATGGGTTCTGTCTCTCAGATTCTGACCTTGTTGTAAGTCAAGGATAGCAACCTGAAACCCTCCAGATGTTGAACTGCAACTCCCATGCAACAGGGCCAAAAGCTGCTTGTTAAGCACCATCTGGAAAGAATTTTAGTTCAGCAATATCTGGACGACGATAGTTCCCACACCTTTCAAAAGTGAAGGGAAAGAGCTGCCTCTGCTCATTGAACTTGCAAGTGTTTTTCTTGTTCAGTAACAAACTAATGAAGACATTTAAATGTATATACATTTAATTCTGAATATGTTTAAATTTTACACCTTTGCAATGTGGCAACACCTGACTAATTTCAAAAAAGCTACATAGGGTCAAAGCTAGGTAGGAGTAGGATAGGATAACCCTAGGAAATCCCAGGACTGTCCACTAGACTAGGTAATTGGGGGGTGGGGAGGGGGAGGAATCCTAGAAGGCAATGGCAATCCACTTCCCTCTTATTAGCACAAAATCAACATGAATGTGTTGATGGAGGTACCGAGAATCAAGCTCAAGTTTAAGTATGACTTTACCTTCTAGATGCTTTTTAAGTTGTGGCAAGGGCTAGAGCTTTGAAAACAGATATTTCTAGTGCAACTAGAACAATCTTTTAAAAGCAAGAGGTATTTGTTCTTATTAAACTATTCAATCATTCAAAACCCCTACGTCTAACTACAACAATGCTTTATGGCAGCAATGAACATTTAGTTTCCAGGCTAAAAACTTACTAAAATTCAAAATAACGAATGCTTTGAGGACATCAGTACCTTCCACTTCCAAGCAGAAAGGCAGCAGATATCTGTAGAGAGAATGTCATCCTGAATTGGTACTATTTTGCTCTACACAAACAAACTCACCTTTTACTCCACTCTTCCGTAGCTCTCGGTCCTGGATGAAACCAGCAAACATTTGTGTCTCCATGAAGATATCTAGGAAATGGCGCACACTGCGGGATGTATGGGACTTCCGGAAGGGCTCCCGCTGGAATACTCTCTCTCCTTTCTCAGTGACATGCATGTGCAAAGAATAGTGTCCCACGATTTCCACAAAAAAGCGCACAAAAGCCTCTGATACTAGAGAGTCCAGTGTCACATTGCCTGCAGAAAGAAATGCCATATTACACAGTCAATCCAGGAAATAAAGTAATGGAGAAGAAGCTATTAGTGTGTAAGGCCATTTTTTTTCAGATTGAAGATGTAAGCATATGTTTAAAAGCTACAGTGTTTGGGGGGGGCGGGAGATAAACATTAGTCGGACTTCATTCTTGTTATTTTTCACCCCATCAGGGATTCACTCACAGCAGAAATACATCTATTTGTCTAAGCAAGGTTAGAGGCAGAATTACTTTTCAATCAACGTCACCTTGTGTGTAGCAGCGTTCCTGAAACAAGATTTCATTCCTTTCTTCCAAGATCTGTACAAGTGCAGCCTGAAGCTTGTGAGGTAGAATTTCATCCTCATCTGAAACCTTTGAAAGAAAATATTGAAGGAGACAGAGAAAAGATAATGGGGTGAACTTGGTGTCCTCATAACTAAACAAAATGCTGTATTAAGCATCAGTACCTACAACTTTATGAAATGTCTTTAGTGTCAGTGTACAGATGCACGATTAGGTCACATATTATAAAGTGCAGGCAAAATTAGCCACATGTAAATTGATTTACAACAGGGTGTATAATATAAATTGCCAGTATAAAAATATGGAAGTTGATACTTTCTGTATTAGAAATTGCATAGGGAGGGATTTTTTGCAAGTACCCTAGTGCTAAAATTAACAAAGGGTTCAGACAATCAGCTAGAACAACACAACTCAACACCTTTTTAACTTCTGCTTTGCAGAATAAGACAATGAGCAATTAGTCAGTTAGTATTTGTAAAAGCAGCACTTTAGTCAACAGCAGACAATGGTCACCAGCAACTACGACATCAGGACAGATTATTTTAAGGAACAAAAAACTGAAAGTAAATAAAAAGCCCATATGTGTCTAGACAATGAAGGGAAGTAGAGGAGAAGAAGTCCATTGGAGGTTTTCCTAAGTGCCATCTTCTATGATACACAGCATGTGTGATTTGGCTTTCTGTATGATATGATTATTTTTAAACAGCAGCTGATGAAACAAGTCACGGAAAGAAGGATGAACTTTCCTTTCTGTGCCTTCAAAATAAAGTCCAGTTGCCTTTTGAAAAGGCACTTTTGGAATGAACCTTGTTATTTATAGTATTGGTAGCATATTGCAGCATGGGGTTGGAGTTGACAACAGTATGATGTGAGTGGAAAAGTTTAAATTAATTTACACTTGTTACGATTCTAATCCAGCTCTTCTATTGTTATATAAGTTAAAATAAAAATATAAAGCTAAGCCTGGCATTTATCATAATGACATGTTCATACAGTTTACTGTTGTGGGAATGATTTTATACACCGCCACCCACCCCTACCACCAGTAGCTGAAACCTAGAAGATCTGCATGGTGGTTTTACATCAATCAAAACAGGATGTACTGTAATTGTTCTCAACTGTATTCTAAACTAACATATTTAAAAATAAGTTCAGGACAGAACCTATCCAGCTTGCTTTAGTTAAACTTTTCTTATAATTCAAACTACAATACATTTGCTTTCTGTAACGTAGAAATAGTGATAAAATGTGAAGACTTCCTTGGAGCTGAGCTCAACTCCTAAGGACTGTATGTATACATCTATACAGTTTTCTTGACAACAGAGATTTGCCATTTCCTTCTTCTGGGATCCCTTCCCCCCATCTAATTTTCCAGTGTAACATGTAGCTCTTAGCAGTTTCTCATCCAAATATTAACCAAGTCAGATGATTCTTAGCTTGTGGGGAGGGGGGGGTGAGCCAAATACTGTCACAGCAGCTTGGTGCTGTTATTTCCTATGGCAAAGCAGAGATTATTATTTTATTCACCTTTTGCAGAAATTTATCAGCACACAAATCAACGATCAGTACCTAAGAAAAGGAAGAGTCATACAATTAATGTAAATCTTCAATTGCTTCAAGCAACCCCTTGCCCCCTTTTCAATTGCATGAAATGTTAAGAGCTGACCATGGGGCTTCTCTTTTGTATTAAATTTCTGCAGTTCTCATTAACTATTAATAATTTGGAATGCAGCAAGTTTACTATTTCATAATAATTTAATTTAAATTCAGTCCCACTGAAGAAAAAAGGGAAAGCTCTTGCAGGCTTAATAACTGGTCGGATACAGCTACCTGAACACTCAACAGAGAAAGCAAGTCTTTTAGAATTCTGCTTTAATTAGCTATGGGAGTAGCCTTTGGATAACTACCAGTCTCATATTTAAAAAGACAAAACAGCACAATATCAATGTGTCTTCTACCTCAAAGACGTTTTTAAAAGAAAGCAAGTTATACAGTCATTACCATAGGCTTTAGCAGCTGTATAGCATAGTAAGAATGCTCTGCATTCTGGTTTCACTGATCTCACCTCTTCTATAGGCAGATCCTGAAGATGTGTTAAGGAGCAGGAGAGGATGCCAATGAGAAAAGGAGTAGGTGAACAAACAATATCTATCATGGAGGCTGGCAGGACAGGGATGTAAGTGTGTTGCCAGGTAAATGGGTAGAGGGTTGCAACCACAGCATGACCACATTTGGACAAGGTACTATATGGAAAGAACATGAAATGAAAATTGTATCAGTAAATAAAACAGTGTCTGAACCCCTCAAGAGATGGTTCTATGAAGAAGCTAAAAAGTAATGTATGAAGTGGTTCTACATAAGAAAAAGAACTAGAAATGGCTCATTCAAAACAAGTGAAGTGCAAAGTTGAATGTTGTTCCACATTAAAAATGTTTTGAAAGATACAAGGCAGCACACTCACGAGGTCTGGAATTCTCCTAATCATGCTGGTACTCCCAAGGCAAACTATTTTAAATAGAAGAGCAGTCACATAGGTGTCACCAGCATGAGGGAATATAACAGTTCCTGAAAGGCAGTTCTATCCCCTTCTCCCAAAAGTGAAGTCTATACTAGATTCCCAGAAGAGCATTTAATTCTGTCTCCATGGGCACTAAATATTCTATCCAAATACATGTTAGGATAGATTGACAATTTTTTCCTCTTGAAAAATAGATACCTTTCTATGTACGCTCTTCCCAGTCAAATGAAAATTATTAGCCTGCTTTTGGGCTGAAGATTGTTTGCCTGTACATCTTTTGTCCAGCCTATATATACAGTGCATAACAAAAATTACATGTTTACACTACCATGCAAGAGTCACCTTAGATTGTCAGCAACAAAGATCACCCTTCTTTCTAGCAGAAGAGAAGCACAAACTTGGATCAAATGAGAGATGCTGAGGCATTTTAAGAGACATTCAAAATCAACGTGTTCTAACCGGGAATCCAGTGGACGGCAAAGCTCAATCACCTAAAAGCAAATAAATGAAAAAGAACCATGGATGAGAAATGCATTATTTTATTGTATTTGCTTTGGTGGATGGCTGGAAGAGATACACAAACCAGACAAATAGAATCCAGTATAAAGATTGAAAGCCTTCAGATTGCTTTAGTCAAATTGATTCCATTACTTCTATGGGAGTAGAAGTAATGGAATTAATTACTTCTACTGGATGATAAAATAAGCCTATTAGATCACCACAACTGCGGGAGCCTTCGTTGGATGACAATTATGTCTTAGCTTTTACCTCATTGCCAGCTCCAGGCAGGAAGCTCTTCACAGTGATGGTACGCCCAGGAGCAGGGAACGGTGCTTCCATCACACTGCGCATGAATGGGTGAACTAGGGCAGGGGACATCTCACGCCTCTTTTCCACTTCGTCTAATATCTGCATAAAAAGAATTTGCTGTTACCTGTCTGGTTCTTTTTAAGGCAGTGGAAAGAGGACTGAAATAATAATTGTGTGCGCGCACATGTGCATTGCGCCTTCAAGTCAGTGCAGGTTGTTTAGCAACATTTTTGGAAGTGGCTAGCCAATACTTTCTTCCTAGGAGAGAGAGATACTGGTAGTGACTGGTCCAACGTCATTCAGCTGGCAGGTCTGGACTCATAGTCTCCTGGCTTCTAGGCTGATGCCTTTAACCACTGCATCAAATGGGCTCTCAATGTGAACATTTATAGTTTGCAATATATTTTGCTTTTCAAACCTTCATGGAAACCAATTTTTCAGATTATTAATCCTGAAAAAGGGTAGTCCAGGCCCTTAAGAGTTTCCCGGGTAGCCTTCAATTTTTCTCTTTTCTGTTCATTATTCTTTTAATTTTAAGTCATGTCCACTATTTTCAGAATGTCTCCTCAGCATTTTGGTGGACCTTGGACACTATGAATTTTTGATACACAAGCATTAAATTCAGCAGCAGGACACAATTTATCTTAGCACCAAAGCATTACAACAGCCTTGGCAAAGCCACATTCTGGCATTCCCTAAGGTTTGGCTCATCTTCTGAATTTGTTTGGAATTTCAGAAAAGTGACTTCTTGTTTTATTTTTCTTTTGAGTTTTTCAACTTTACACTTACAATTGTCAGCCTCAGACCCAAAGCCATTGATTTTGCTTGTCAGAAGGTCGCAAAGGGGATTACATGACTTTGGGACACTTCAACTGTCATAAATATGAATCAGCTGCCAAGCGTCTGAATTTTGATCATGTGACCATGGAGATATGCAGCAGTCAAAAGTGTGAAAAATGGTCATGTCACTTTTTTCAGTGCTGTTGAAACTTTGAACGGTCACTAAACGAATTGTTGTAAGCCAAGGACTATCATCAGACTTTTGTCTTACTTCAGGGGTATATCAGCTTCCTGAGGTCCATAGCTGTAATTTCTTTTTTGTGTCTTGCAACATTTGGTTAGCGTGCAGTAAACTACCATTCTGATTTTGTAAATCTTTTTTGAAAAATGTACCCCCCCCCCCCAAAAAAAGATCTAAACCATCAAAGAAAAAACATCAGATTTTATACTCAGGTTCTGCACAGTATTTTGGGGTTCTTTTCAACGTTGGTGCCCCCTAAAATTTGGTGTCCTAAGCAACAGCCTAGGTTGCTTGGCTCTAGGACAGCCTTGAAGTAGGCAATGTATTTCTTTCTTCTTCAAGTAATCAATTCAGGCATCTGGCAAAAACGAGTTATAAAGCTGTCCTTCCTCTTCGTAGCTTCAATGGGCAGAAATAGAAAGGAGCATACCAGAACAGAACTTAGTGGGTAATTATATCACTTCCAGACTTGGACTCTATTCACATCCTGCGCCCGGGGAAGATTACTTGCAAGAACATTGAATCCTCTGCAGAGAAATGGTTGCCATGCCTTTTCTGCGCAACCAGTTTTGTACAAAAAAGAAGTGCAATTCCCATAGATATTTGCTGTTGCAAAGCAAGCAGCAATATGAATGCAAACTTTCTCACCTTAGAAAAAAGGTTGAAGCAGCCTAGACGGCTAACCATGCAGTACACTTCAGGTAGCCGCTTTCCTTTTCCTTCTGGCTAAAAGGCAATAGAAAGGAAGAGTTACTCAAGTCTCCCAGGGAGGCTTTCCCTACCTTCTTTTTTCTACTTGACACACCAGTCTCATTAACTGTTTTCATGACCCTTTGCTATTTATGTCTTTTCGTCTAAGTTTGGCTCATTTATCTATGGTACTAAAGCATCAGAGCACATTGCACACTATCTATTAACAAGACTGCTTACAAATAATTGCTGATTACCAGCTCCTGCACAATGGAGATAAATACAAATTGCTGAACATTTCTGTTTTATTATCATCCTTAGCAAGAACCCATCTGGATCCAGATTCCTCCAGGTACAAACTCCAACGGATAGTTAAGACTGCAGAAGGAACAACTGCAACCAGCCTGCCTTTTATAAAGACCTGTATATTGCAAGGGGTCAGAGAAGGAGGGCTGACAAGATATTTGCAAGACCCCTCACATCCTGGACATAAACTGTTTCAACTCCTCCCCTCAGGATGGCACTACATTGCAGGCCAAAACTAGACTCAGGGACAGTTTTAACCCTCACGCCAGTAAAGTGCTGAACTTCTAATTCTCACAGTTCTCTCTAATGTCTATGTATGGCTGTAGTATTATCACTTATCCTTCTTATTATCTTCTTTACTCCACCCTTTCATTAGTATTGTTACTATGATGATTATTAATCTGTTGTTTGCATGTACACGAAGAGCTTCTGCACCAGAGACAAATTCCTTGTGTATCTAATCACTCTGGAACAATAAAGTATTCTGTTCTATTCTCTTTTTTAAAAAATAATACAAAATTCACAATATCAGCTAATATAACAAGTCCACAGACTAGCACCTTCCATAGATGCTTGACTTTTTCTGATGTGTAAGGTCCTGCATTACAGATTTTCAAAATGTATTTTTCCTCAATATAAGCTCTTTGTCAAATAACAACTACCACTGGTTGTATTCAATTTCCATTAGAGTGATTTTTCTTCTGATTCCATTCAGAAATTTTTGACTGTGGAAAAGACAAATGTTGGCGGATTTTGATGTTGCTCCACTGCAAAATTTTGGAACAGCAGGATATCTACATTCACTCCAAAGGCAACACTTGACAAATACTTTCATTCAGTTTTTACACTACAGAATTGCTGGGAGTCAGATGGCTTATTATAATTATTACAATTATTATTATTATGGTTTGTTGCATAGTCAAACAGATGTTCATACTATATTTGCCATGTTTATTTCCCTATGTTTGATGGTGTTAAAGATATTGTACCAGCTGTTTTGAGGAAAACTCCTTTTGTAATTGAGTAATGGTGATTTTTTTTTTATTGTCGATGGTGTTCAAGGGATGCTCCAGTTGTTTTGGAATTGTACCCAAGGTACCTATTACTATTGGTACTACCTTTGCTTGCTTTTGCCATCATCGGTCTATTTCTATTTGCATTCTTTATATTTTGTTATCTTTTCCAGTTTTTTCTCTTCTATTCTGCTATCTCCAGGTATTGCCACATCCACTGTGCAGTCTTTCTTATCGACAATTGTTAAGTCTGGGATGTTATGTGGCAGGTGCCTGTCTGTTTGAATTCTTAAGTCCCAGAGCACTTTAGCTTCTTCATTTTCTATTGCTTTATCTATTTTATGGTCCCACCAATTCTGTTTCTTTGAATACTTTATTTTGTATTATAAATCAACATTGATCTGCTAGCCTCTGTTCTGTTGTTTCTGATTCTGGATCTGGGCATTAGTTCTTGCTGGACTTGATCTGTAATAACAGATCATTATTTCTTATATTCTACAAATATATCTGTTTATTTGTAATGGGTAAACATCTTTTCTTCCAGTAGGTCTGTAACTACTGGCCAACAGTCCTGAGTCCTATAGTCCATTTTTCACCAGATGTCCAGGAACCTAGTAGCCCTTTTTGACTCAGGCAATGACCAAAATGATATGTGTTTTTGTAATTTATATCTCACCATATTATGGGAGAGACATTCTTTATCTGGCTTCTCTGTGTACAGTATGGTTGAACCTCTGGCATAGCTCTCATCTTCCTCAGAGCATACAAAACCCATAATCATTTCAGGTCGTGCCTCACTGGCGGGTAGGGGTGTCAATATTCTTATTCTTATTAATATAGGGGTTTACTTACCAAGAGCCTTTTGCAATATCCAAACCAGCGGCTGCCATCCTCACCAGTCAGCACAAAGGAAAAGGTTTCACTGAACAACACACATACACAAAAATGATTGTTAGTTTTATTAAGGAAACAAGAGTACAAAGAGCTATTATATCACAACTGGATATAAAACATATTTCTCCAATCAACTTCTATATACGGATTTTTTTTCAGAGCTCCAGAAAGTTTACAAGAGATATTTTATCATATGTTGACTTCCCAAGTTCTCCACCCTACCACAAATAACCATAATTGGCAGCTTAGAAATGATCACTTCACCATAGTGTAAATATGATGAGAATGCTAGGGCCAGCTACATCTAGGCCATTGTGGCACTGTATTAGAAGCCAGAAAATAACAAGCGCACAAGAAGGTGGTTTTTTTAAATTTTAAATTGCATGGTATCTTATGCTGCCCATGGTATCTTCAGTTCTGCCCTATAACTGAATAAGAGAGAAAGGTAATATTCCTTATTGAAAGAGAGACTGTGGGACAGATTCAGTGCCAATCTCTTTTACTTTGTCTTATGTTCTTGACTTTGCTTTTATTAAAACAATAAATACGTTTCAATAAAACAATTTTAATTCAAACAAAACAAAATAAAGCAAATTGATCTGCAGAGGGGAAAACATGACAATCATAGTATCAAAGAGGAGGGAGGGAGGGAGGGAGGGAGGGAGGGAGGAAGGAAGGAAGGAAGGAAGGAAGGAAGGAAGGAAGGAAGGAAGGAAGGAAGGAAGGAAGGAAGGAAGGAAGGAAGGAAGGAAGGTAGGTAGGTAAAACATCCACTTGGGGGCATATAAACACTAATACAATTTTATGAAGAAACTCAGACATTTTGGAAATTTATATTTAAGGCTGTGGTTTAAAACATTTTGATGAAAACATCAGGAATTTTTTGTTCATATAGCAAAGTAATGGAGACCAGATTAAATTAAATTGTGCTTAATACTGCAATAGTTTATACGATTTGCAAAGTACAGTCACTAAACCAACAATATGATTAATCACCAAAAAATGGTAAGTAATTCTCCCATATGCCTCAAAACTCTGGTCAAAATGAATAAGGCATTAGGCACCACCACTCACCTCTTTGTCTCTGAGGTTGGACACCAATCTTTGGGATCAGGGAAACAAAATTTGGGAATGACCTTTAGTCTGTCTTCAGTGTCCTTAGATTGACGAAAAGGATGGTCAGACTGCAAATAGAAAATTGCCAGGCTGTCAAACAAATAAAAACCAGGCTATTTTCCTCTGTACAGATTGACCTAAATTAGATGCAGAGACAGTGATTATGTTTCAACGGTATCTGGAAGCTGTGGGCCACAATTTATCCAAGAATCTTTCAAGACACCCACCAAGTTTTTAAATTAAACATATGATTTAAATAATAAAAATGGAATGCTGCCATCTGCTAGGCAAACTATCTGCCTCTAGAATTTATTTTGAAAAAGGTTTCTGTTCATCACACAGGCACTATATGCATTTATTGAGGGGGAGGGGGAATGGCAGCTGTTGCAATTCAGTTGAGAAGTTTTTCTGATGTGCCAGATCTAATGAGACTATCATTTTATGAATGGACAACCATCTAAGGCAGTCATTTTGTGAATGTATTCACAATTCATTGTCAACGTTCCAAATATAACTATTAATACATTCTGATTCCTGAACAATATCAAGTCTCAACATTTTGTCTCCTGACTATTCATTTCTAGTTCTCAATGAGCTACTTTTCACAGCAAATGTCTATGGAGATTCTCAGTCAGTCATCCAGGTCGTGGTTGTCTCAAAGGTGTTTTTTTCATCTGTCCTTGGCTGGGATGGTGTGGGGGAGGAGAATGGAAGGATCTCCTGTAGGAACTAATCCTTTCATTCCGTCTACCAACATCATCGCCACTCTTCAGCCAGAACTGATGAAGCTTCTTGAATGAGAAGCAAAACGTCTTCTTCTTCCTCAAGGGAGAAAAAAAAAACAGTCCAGTTGCCTTTTGAAAAAAGCAGTTTTGAGACTACTTTTCACTGTGTATGTTTTTTTAAGCAGAACTTTCTAAAGGGTTACAAGTCCTTAGGTTTTACAGCATTATTCCTTTGGACATTTTCCTTCACTACATGGTCTGTTCAAGCAAGTGACTGGCAGACAGTTTGGAAACAGAATTATTTTGGGAGCTGGTGGAAGTCTGTAATAACGGTGCTCATGTTATATAATCACTGCCCCATAATTACTAGATTAAAGTTTCTTGCTAGATCCCAGTCTGAAAGACCCTTCTGTGCAAATCTTGTTAACAAACTCCAAAAACATTTCCTAGGCAGAAGAAGACAAATGGACTGACAAAATGCCATCATGCATTTTGTCAACAGTGACATAAAGAGTGCAACAACCATGTGACCTTGTGAATCATTACTCACTACATTTCTAAGCAATGTAGGCCAGTGCTGTTTTGGTATCAGTAGTGGTTTGTATTAAATCAGCACAATTTTGGAATTACTGTGGTTCAGTTGTCTTTCATTCCTCATCTGAGTCTAATACTAGCCATACGTCACAAGAAAGTAATATATGTTTTCCCCCAATAAACCAAGGTGCAAATCATTTTCAGAATCTGCAGATGAGTCCTCCCTGCCCCCAAACCTCACTGGTGTAACATATGTATTTTTTCAAAAGAAATGGTGGTTGGAGAAGAGGAAACAAATACAGGAAATTCTGTCCTCATCCCATTGTTCCCTTTTTTCCAAATAATTGCTGCCTCAAACTTCTTCCCCCAATTCACTGGATTCCAAATATACATCCAAGGATGCAAATGTGCACGTAGAAGGTTTAAATCTTTCCAAGACCTTTAATTGTTGTCGGATTTTAGAATGATGCCCCCAGAAATTGTTACCAAATTATAATTCTGAATGTAAGAGATAATTACTTGTATCCCCAGAGAATTATCAAGTTAACTCTATATGGATTCAGATAATTTAAAATGTAAATAAAGGGTTTTTTTTCCAAGGCTAATCATTACTCTTTGGAATCTAGCTCCTAGCATCCTATTCGAAGGACAAAGTCACCACTTAGGCTCAGAAAAAACTGTGCACCTCCACAGTACACTGTAAGCCCTGGAAAACTATTCTATGAAATCATACTCTTTTGCATGAGGTTGAGATCATACAGAGCAGATGGTGAAAACATGCAATGAAATATGGTTAATGCATAAGACAGTATGTTGCTTTTCTGCTGATTGTAGCACAGATAATACTGCTGCGGACAAAAACTCAACCATAAATATTCTACCTCACCTAAACCTGTGCTTCCCAGATTCCAGATGTTCAGATTTCACTTCCCACAGTTCAGAGCAATAGTCATGGGAATTGAAATCTACAGATCTGGAAGTTGGCCAGGTTGGGAAACATTGATCCATACTTATACACAGTTAAGGCAGACAGAGCACTAATTTACTTATTTCTTAGAGTCTGAATCAAGAAAGATTGAGGGACCTCTCATTGGGAATCCATGAACAGCTAAATCCGTAACATATTTTCCTGCAACATGGCATTTTGAGTATCCAGAAACAGACTCTGAATCAGTGAAAGCACATCTCAGCAAAGGCACAGTGCTTATCTTGTGTTTGCTCTGTCAGTAGTTAGTGTTCAATTTTAGCAGGAGTGAAGGTTCCATTCCACCTGACCAACCAAAAGCACCTAAATTTAATTTTGTGGAGCATAGATAAAAGTAAATAGACACCAACCTTACATGGAAACTGTTGTATAACCTGTGGAGTATATGTTGCCTCTGATGGTTTCTTTTGCAGAGATACCACAACGAATAGCTCAAAGAGCTGCTGCTCCTGAAACTCAATGAGATCTCGCTCCAATGTCTGGTAGTGTGGGTTCCGTTTGGACTGAGCCTGGACCTGCAGAAGGCGCTTATGGCGACCTAGGGAAAAGAAGCAGTTCTTCAGTTGCCCAACCTTGCATCTTGGGATGCGGAAATGGCATGGCTTCCATTCCAATGGCATAGTAGGGGGACTGCAACAATGGCTCTGCAGTTTCCCTATGGCTCAACAGCAGGTCAGTTTTTAGAGCTGCATCCAGAATAACTAAAAGTAATAGCTATGTTGCTGGAATAACAGTATTCCCATAAGCAAAAGAAAATGTGAGTAGCAATAACACCCTAACCGTCCAATAAAAAAAAACGTAACAAACAAAGTCATACTAAATTAACAACCCCCAAAGCCTAACTTCTCTAACATAAAGCCATTCATTCTAAATGCACATAATGCTTTAAGAAGCACTGTGAAAGTTATGAAACTTGCAATGGCACAGACTACATGGACACCAAATAAATAGCTACATGTTAAGTGTCTCCCCCTCTCTAGAGAAAATGCTGATCTGACCACCTTCATGAAACTGTTGAAGGAAGGAAGTGAGGAAAATAACCACAGCTTGCTTGGCACTACACCTTTATTATTACCAGGGAATTGCTGAGCTAAGCTATATGCAAAGCTTAATTCTGACAATTTCCAGGCATGGTGAACAGGAAATGCTGGTGTGTCCAGGGCCATTGGTGCCAATTAGGATAGATGAGTCACGATGCAGTGCCAGTTTGGAGCCTGCTGCTCTAGTTGTTCTTCCTCCAGTGTTTACATGCAAGGGCCAAGCGTTATATATAATTTCACTCCAGTTACTCCTTTTTCCCAGCGAAGGGCGTTTCATAATATCACAAGAGACAGAGACATGACTGGGCTTCTTTCGCTTCAGTGAAAGCGGGGGAGGGGAAAGTTCTCAAGAGGCAGCACTGGAAACGATTAAAAGGAAAAACACTCGACCCAGAAGCAGATGATGATTATGTGCCAAGTTGCTTCAACTCCTTGTTATTGTGTTTATGGCATTACAAAATAAAGAGGGCCTCTAATTACAGCCCAATGAAACAGCATGGTTCTTGCCAGGTAATCCTTTCCTTCCTGGGCAGTTTATTTTCCTTCACCTTGACAAAAGACACAACTATCCTGAGCAACTTGCTGCTTATCCATTTTTACATGCTTTCTCTTTTACATGCTAGGTCCAAATCTGCACTTGAGAATCATCCTTGTTTAACTTTACCTCAGCACCCTGGCCATGCAGTTGATGGTTCCCATGCTCTTTGCAGAAATTAGCCACTGCTGCCAAGCTTTGGTGCATAAGAGATGGGGGTGTCAAGCAGTTGCAAGCTGTCTGAAATGCTTACGGCAGGGGTGTCAAACTGGCGGCCCGTGGGCCGGATGCATCACGCACAGGCCATGTCCACCTCCGTGAAGGGGAAAAAGGTCGCAAAACATCACATGAGGCAACGTGACACAGCGAGTTTGACAACCGTGACTTAAGGGGAGTGGTGAGAAGCCTATCAGAAGCAGCAAGTGCAGTTGTGCCATGCTGTTAAACTTTCAAGGTAGTCCACACAAGAAGCGCAACAAGGAAGCTTGGATTACCTTTACTGTAAGGTTACATGAGCAGAATCTTGCAAGAGCGAAAGCATTTCTGCCCTCCTCTCCTTTTACTCTCTGGAAATCTAGGGAGGATCCCTTCTGAAACACTTCCCACACCTCCTCCACTTGTGTGGACTGTGATACCTTTTGCATGGAAGATGTCTAGTCTGCAACTTTCTGCCCTGTCTTCCTGGGTCATTACCACACACACCAGTACACAGGCCAGCACCAAGAATCACAGTAGTCTTAACAAAGTGATGTTACATTTTGTGTCACTGTCACAGGCTTTGGTAGAATATCACAAAAAAATCACTGTAGACAAATCACACTTACCGCTTATATTTATCCACTTATTGGCAGATAGGCACTGAAACCTGACTTTGAGATAACCACGTGTCCCTTCTCTTAGGGAACTAAAGAATGGCTTTAAAAAATGTCCCATCAAAGAAGATCTCTTGGCATTTTATTGTTTTCTTCGTACCATTTAATTATTTATTCAATAGATTTATACTCTGCTAATGTTGTACAGACCCTCAAGGCAGCCCATATAATACTCATTCATCCTATTTTTCCACAACAGTGTTGTGAGGTAGATTGGGTTGAGAGATAGTGACTGGCCCAAGGCCACCAGGAAGTTTGCAGAACCAGGATGCACCATCCCTAGTCCAACTCCTTCATTACTATATTACATAATAAGCCTTTCAAGTATTCAAATATGTTCTGAATGACAATACTACGACACTACTACAACCGCTATTAGATATATGCAAAGTAACTATCATCCTTTGCTACTGACATAAATAATAATAATCTGCTGTTACATTGCAGCTAAAAATTAAGAATTATAAACAGGCTGTCATTGTCATTAAATTCCTGATGAACCCCAGGAGTTCATAGGTTAAAAGTGATTAAAAGTGCCATGGTGGCACAGTGGTTAGAATGCAATACTGAAGGCTACTTCTGCTGACTGCCGGTTGCCAGCAATTTGGCAGTTCAAATCTCACCAGACTCTGAGGTCAATAAAATAGGAACTCTGATTGTTGGGGGCAAGATGCTTACTCTGTAAACTGCTTAGAGACGGCTGTAAAGCACTGTGAAGCATTATATAAGTCTACGTGCTATTGCTATTATCCTGAGTTCTAAACCCATCTATTCCTTCTCTCAATCATCCCCATTCCTAATGATTTCTAAAACAGAGACTTACAAGGCTTTAAATGATCATAATGCATCCATTTTGTCCAGCAAATAGTGACCATTCCAATTTTTCAAATAGATCTCAGTCCCAAAGTACTTCATTGACTAGGTAGATTTTGCATAGAACATAGACACTCTCAACAGTTGTCTGCAAGGTATAATTATGCCACTTGACCTGTCTTAGGCCCAGTGATTCACTCACTCACTTTTCGGCAGATTTTCTGGTTCACTCTCATATCCACTGGTTTCACCTGAAATGACAAAAAGTTTCCCTCGTTTGCCAACTGGGTGGAACTGGAAAAGTTGGAAGCAACCTGACAGAGCAACAATCAATTATGTTCCTATGCCTCTGAAAGTTGGGAACAATTGTATGCAACAGTAAAGGCATCTGTTCAGGAGCATATCTACATATGGGTCAGGTGTTAATTAAAGCAAGTCGAGCTCACTATACAATTCTGCGGCGGCACCTTCTTCATTATGCAATGCAGAGGACTGAGGGAAGATGCATCACCATCAATTGTTTAACATTACTAGGCAAGTGGGCACCATTGATTTGCAAAATGTAGATTACACAAACAGCCATTGGCTCTAGCTTATATTTCAACACATGTGGAAGACGAAAGTCATCTAAAACAGGAATGACTATTGATAAGATATATAAAAGGTAAAGGTAAAGGTTCCCCTCACACATATATGCTAGTCGTTTCCGACTCTAGGGGGCTGTGCTCATCTCCATTTCAAAGCTGAAGAGCCAGCGCTGTTGGAAGATGTCTCCGTGGTCACGTGGCCAGCAAGACTAAACACCAAAGGTGCACGGAACGCTGTTACCTTCCCACCAAAGCTAGTCCCTATTTTTCTACTTGCATTTTTTACGTGCTTTCGAACTGCTAGGTTGGCAGAAGCTGGGTCAAGTAACGGGAGCTCACCCCATTATGCGGCACTAGGGATTTGAACCGCTGAACTGCCAACCTTTTGATCATGAAGCTCAGCATCTTAGCCACTGAGCCACCAAATTCCTTGATAAGATATATACACCCACACAAAATACCACAATCTTGCTCTTCTTATTTTAGCAACAAAAAATCTATACCATCCTAAAGAGGCAGCAGGATAAAAAAGAGAAATCACAGTTCACAATATTTCTCAGAATTAACATAATTAAATCCAGGTTACTGAAAGGTCTCGTTCTAATGGGACTGGTCCTCCCCACCCATACCAGCAAAGAAGGCATGCTGTGGGCCCAATCAGCCAGGATGTTCCGGCTGGCAGGGTCCAGAAAAAAAAACTTTCTCTGCCATCGCTCCTGCTCTTTGGAACCTCTTGTCCCCTGTAGTGAGATCGGCTCCAACCCTCCTGACCTTCTGCGAGAACCTAAGACCTGGCTCTGCTAGTTGGCTTGGGACTCCAGTGGGACAGCATCATGGTAGAGGCGGTTGATTGATTAACAGGAATTCCACTTCCACCCTCAACCATTCTGGTCCTGCCCTTCCCATCTTTTAGTTAGGGCGGAATTTTTTTTATAGTTTTTTATTCATATTCTGTATAGGTTTTATATAGTTTATTTTTAATATTGTATGACACCCAGAGTTACCCTGTGGTAAGGTGGATGACCAATAAAAAAATAAAATAATAAAATAATAATAACAATAAATAAATAAATAAAAACAAAAGAATAATGAATTGACCAGAAGAACTGCATTTAGTCCAGCATTTATACCTCTGGCTGGAGAAAGTTCTTTTCCCATTTGTATCACCAACTTCACATGTTTCTTTCCTCTTCTGGAATCAAAGATCTCTTGTATCTTCAATACAAGCTGAAACCCAATAAGAAAAAAAATCATCAAGAGGGACGACAAGTTTCAGAAAAAGAAAAACTGCATTTTTATACAGGGGCTAGTGTTAGGAAACACTACAGAATTTAGCAGAGCTATAATAGAAGAACTGATGGGAACATGAATGCCCCAAACAGAAAAGACTACTTTCATCTACATAGTGCTAGTAATGTACAATGATCTTTAATCTGGATATCAAAAATATTCTAACTCACGATGAAAGCTAAATTGAATAAAACATGGATGGAAATAGGTTCACTGATGCTAACTGGTGAATGCATTTACCACATAGCATCAGTGAACCTATTTGCATCCAGTCTCCAAGCATTATAGGGTTTTGCTTTGTTTTGGTTTTTTTTGGTGCACACATAGTTTGAAGATGCCATTGTGTTCAGCTTGATCTTGCATCTATACAGTTTTCTTGCAAACATTATGGAAATGATTTGCCACTAGTTTTTTTCCAGGATTTATATTAACTTCTTATCTAGAAAAGAGCCTAGAACTGCCAGGCATTCTCCCATTTACCAACCAGGACCAATCCTGCTTAGCTTATGTGTTCAGTCAAGATTAGCTAGATACTGTTAGAACAAACTGTTAGAAAATAGTATAATTCTTAATTGTACACTTTTTCTTGGGTAGTTTGGTTTCTACCAATTTGCAGAGAAATAGCCACATGTTCAACAACCCATCAAGCATCATGTGGTGTCAAGTGTCTCAAGCCATAGGCAAAAGACAGAAAGATCTTCGCCACAGCATGTCTAGTCAAAACTTGCTGACGATCTCAGCTCCTGCTCAGCTACTTGCTATTTTAGACAATGGCATGCAGGCCAAGTTCACTCTTGCCCGGCTTCAAGAATGCATTCAGCATTCCATGCAAAGGCAACAGGGTGGGGCCCAGTTATTCCCTTCACTGCAAGTCATATAGAGATGGAGAAGACAGTTAGCAGGTAAACAGTTCTTAGTTCCAACTCTTTTCTTAACTATAGCAACCTAAGTAGAGTAAAAAGAATTTCAGAGATCCAGTCTGCAGCTCAAGGAAAAGGTGATACAATTTGACCTCAGGAAAAGTCTGCACCTATGCAAGAAACTCTGCAGGCCTTCTACTCTTTCCTTCAGCTTCTTTTCAATTCCTCCCAAATTTTCCCAGCCCTGGTTTAAATCATTGGTTTAAGAGCTTCTTCAGATTTTGGATGTCAAACATTAAAAAATGAAGTGGACTCAGAAATATGTGGTACCACATAAAAGGATAGGGAGGGAGCTGCGACTGATGCTTTCTGGAATACACGTAGATGACAGAGACTAGAAATATGCATTCCCCATGCATAAGTTTTAAGCTGACTGTTGCAAAGTCTGGTGCCTGCAATATTTGTAATGGCTTCAAGAATGACTAGAAAATGCTGAATGTATGATGTCAAGGTGCTGGAGAATACATTATTTTCCATGCTGGAATTGAATAAGAATGCTTGGCTTACTTGGGCATTCTTCCAGCAATCATGGCCAAGTCCTATGAGTTCAGGATGACAGAATAACATACACTTCCTCTCTCAGTAAATTACTCTGACATTTCTGAATGTGGTTGGGGTGATCATTTTGTCTGAGAAATAATGCTCGTATAGGACTTTTTAGTCATCCTTCATGGTTCAATTAATCATCTTCATATGCTCCACACAATACTGATATGCAATACTTAGAAAGTGAGCAAAATTGACTTGTATATATGCTAGCTTTCCTTCTGTCCACCTCTATCATAATGAAAATAAATTCTAACTAACAATGTGACTCTTTTTGCCTTCTGGCTTTGAGTACCAAAAATGGGACCTTCTTTTGCTCAAATTCTTAAGTAAACATGATGTCTGATCTGCAGTTCTTTTCCTTTGCAATGTTTCATGATTGTGAGATTCATTAAAAGACAGTACATATGTATGTAGATTATTAAAAATTAATAAATTATTAAGATTGATAAAAAGATACTAACTGTAAAAGATTCCAATTTCTTCAATGAACAGGCAGCAATTGTTTATTTACAGTAATTACAGACTAACCCAAATCTATACAACTCTAGGTGATAACTGATGCTTCTCAGTTTTCCTATGTTCACCTTACTTACACATTTCTACTAATCATTCATCCAGACGCACATTAGGAAATTATACTGAAATTTTATTTAATAGCCTCATCTTTAATGAGCTGCTCAACAGCTTTAAAGTACAGAACAGTTGAAAGTTAAATCATGAGTCAAAAGTAAGCAACCCCAGAGAAAGAAGTCCAGGCAAAGTAAAATGAACAAGGTCACTTTAAGCAATCTAACTCAGAAACTCTGTTCCCCAGTTACTCCTGGTGTAAGTGGGAACTTAACTGCGTATTAACTATATATTGCCCAATATTGCTGTTGACATCTAGTGAACCTGCACCGTAATCTAAATATAGCAAGACAAGATGTCAAGATAACTTTTTAAAGATATAATTTCAGTTATTTTCCTATTCAGGTCTTTTTATATAATATTGTTTACCGAATATTTATTTTATTATGATTATTTTGAATTCAGATTGAAAACATTTGAAATAATAATCCACTGTTATTGCAAGACCTTCTGGATGTAGTGTGACAGCAGTTCTCAAGCTCCCATGTAGTGTGATGGCAACTCTCAAAATTCAGCTAGCTTGAATGATGACCAGACAGGGAATTCTAAGAATTGCCATCCCACACAACTGGGGGCACCCAATTCAGAAAGATCAGCTAGGTCTCTGTTAAATTTATACAGCCACTCATCTCATGCTTCTGACTCTGAGTGGCAAGTACAATTAACACAGTTGAGAACTATAATAAAATCTGATATTGCCAACAACTCTCATATTTAAATAATGCAATAAAAAATTATTTAAGAAAGCAATTGCTTTTCATTAAAAATGACAGGAATGATCCAACCAAAGGTTGTGGTACAGAGGAGATAGGGAGAAGAAATGGCAACAAAAACTGGTATTTGCCCAGAAATGAATTATTAATATTTTGGCTTACCCGGGGAAGATTCTTTCTCTTCCTGCTTCCAGCATCTCCTGCTTTGAAGAACTTCCATTCGGTCAACGTAACTGGCAGTGTTGAATCTTTTGGCAACTTCCCGCGCAAACAGATTCGTGTGTTCTTTAGCTCCAACGTTTTACGGTGAAAAAAGTGTGGCTTGTGAAGAAGCTAAAGAAATGTGAAAGAAGGATAAAGGAATGCCAGTGTTTTACAAACAAAGCAATCCCCACTGAACTTGATACAAACAGACATAGACTCAAAAATGAAACATCTCACCATGCAAAAGGGTAGTTTGGTTTTTAGAAGAGTGAAAGCAGCAAGATCTAAAAATTGGGTTTGCTATTATTATATGAAAGTCTTCAGTAGATATAATTAAAAGTCAGACGGAATCAAAATAATTCTTGGATTAGGGACAAACACAAACAGGTAAGTCTAATTAGATATTCCCTCCCTTTTAATAGACTATATAAGGTCTCTATCCCAAATTATAGGTGGTGCTAAATAAGGCCTTGGAAGGAAAGGTATCTCGCCCTTTCTCTTTTCTCTCTAGGGAATCAACGTATAGCAACAATGGGACTAATAGATATGAGAGCTCTTTGTTTGAACTGTGCAATAAGGAAAAAAGTTAAATCCTCTTCCTGTCCATCCCACCTTGTAAACCACAATCCCAATCTTCCCTTTCTCCATGAATTCTACTTAGAATTAAAAGAGAGAAAGAAAAGAGAGATGTAGCTTTCAGGAATGAATTAATCATTATACCCATCATGGCCATCAACCACTGGGCCAGATTACAAATCACAGAAAAATTTAGGATTGTTCAAGATAAGAAATCCCATGAAAGCCACCATTCCTTGCAGTTTCTTCTTTCTTAGCTTTTCCACGTAAAAAGTGATATTACTGTGGAACATAGGAAATTACTAGGGTCAAATGTATCAGTTTCAACCTCAGCAGATAGACATATGTAGCTGACCTCATAAGCTAAGCATGGTGGGGCCTGATTAGTATTTGGATGGGAAATTGCCAGAAATCTCAGTTCTATTTACTAAATTAAGAAGTTAAAAAAACTTGCATAGATACAATCATCAAGAGGTGGACTTAGATACAATCATCAATAGGCTAAACTTAAAAAAATAAATTAAAAAGAGCAAATGAAAAATACATAATCATATTTTAATATAAGCAACACATATCGTATATTTAATCTATACAGTACGGCCCATGAAGATCTGAGACTAGAGGAAAAGTAAACTGGAAAAATATCCAAAATTTAAATAGAGGAGAATATGGGCTGATTGTTGCACAAGCAGTCATCAAAAGAACGAGGACCCTATTGCCTTAAACAACAAGGAGATCATATGTCAACAAATTTCAACATCAGGCAAGAAAGGGCACGGAATGATATATTAATCAAAAATATCAACAAACAGCCCAGGATAACAAGAAAAGGAAATGAGGAATCTATTTAAGAGGATCCAAAAAAATCATCAGAAAATTTATAGTTAATGTTGGGGCATTCAAGAATAGTGAAAAAATATATTTCATAGATTTCACTTCAAAACAAAGTAACATAGAAATATTTTAAATACATAAATATCAAGATCTTTTAGAAAATAATATTATAGATTGACTGGAATATCCGTACAAACAAAATACATTCAGGAACAATTCTACAAGAGAATGAGACACGACAGGCAGCAGATCCGCTGTTAATAAGAAAGTATTAAGTGCAGATAAAATATCTACTGAACCATTTAAAGCTGAAGACAAAGACAGCTGAAATCCAGATAAATCCATGTCAACTAATATGAAACAACATAATGTGCAGATTGGAAAGCAGCAACAGTAATAATAATAACAAATTATTGACCCAATTTTCACATTTTGTTTAAGATTTCATCATTAAAATACATATAGAGAGAAGATCTTATGGAGGTAATGCCAGAATGTAGAATTTGTTAACATAAATAGATTTTTAAAAAAGAATTATTTTATGTCACTTTCGTAACATAACTCTGGGCAATACACAATAAAACTGCCCACAAAATACAAATGACACAGGTGGAAACTCCAAAATCTGGGGGAGGGACCCCTTCTTAGCAAAAAACCAAAGAAGACCCACCACTCATTCAAACCAAGGCCAAGAGAAAAACTAAGTTTTAAACGCAGGCAAGTTGGGAGGTCAAATGCATCTTGAGATGGCTGAGGTGATTCCAAACAACAGGTGCTGTTAGAGACAAGGCACACCTCCAGGTCCCACCAGATGGCACTGCTAAATAGGGGGAAGCTGGAGGATGCCCACTCTGCCCAATCAGACCAGTTTTTCTTTCAGAAAAATAACAGAAGAATTAACAGAAATAATAATCAGAAGGAACTTCCTAATGAGCAAGAAGCTGTTCTAAGAATTAATTTAGAGGAAAACACAGTAGTTCAGAATAAGTAAAACAGTGCAATAAGTTTACATATTGTTCCCATATCTGCATAACTTACAGTGTTAGTATACATTAGGAATGGCTGGGCGAAACCAATATGTATGTATGCATATATGTTTGTATGTTTGTATGCACAATAGCTCTACTCATTGAGGAGCACAGACAGTTAAGTCTTAAATTCAAGGCTTTTTTCTTCTGCAGCAGTTTTTCCATTGCTAATCTGTCCTGTAAAAAGAGGTCAATTGTATTATATTGCTTATTAAAAGTACCATAGACTGTAGTCAATTAGTCCTGGATTAAATAAAGGCCGATTGCTCTCTTTAAGGCAGGAAGCAAAGTCTAAAGAGCATCGGACATGTGAGGCAAGTGAATGATGGATTTGAAAAGTTTTTATGCTTGACAGGTTGAAAGAAGAAGACAACAGGCTATATTGATGGACAAGATCAAACAAGCTACAGGAATGTTCTAGGGAGAATTACACGTTATTATTGCATAAAGGGCATGATGGTTCATGCAGTCACTTCAAAAACTAACTTGATTACGCCTAAAAAGTAACTAAATTGCACAAAGAAACAAAACAACAATGAGCTTTGGGGCTAAACCTTGTAAACTGCCTGGAGTTGCTGAGAGTGAGTTATGTGGCCATGTAATTTTAATAAATAGCTAAATAAATAACGACTAAAAAAACCTTGATTTAAATTACATGAAGAAAAATGGAATAGTATTTGTGTTAGGGTAAGCAGTTGCATGAGAACAATTTATATCACCATGTCTCCCTTTTTTGTGCAAAATGGTTTTTGCCTAAAATAATTCTTCCTTTTAAATGGTAGCTGTCAGTACTTCATTAAACACCTATAAATTAACATATTTCAGAATATGTTTCAGAACATTATATTTCAGAACAGTATACAGCACAGGTGTCAAACTCAATTGTGTCACATGACATATCGCGACGTTTTTGGCCTTTGCGGAGCCAGGGGAGGCTTGGCCTGCATGTGACGCATCTGGCCCAGCATAGAAAAGTAGGCACTACCAATATTATAATTTCATTTGCCAGGGAAACATCTCCTTTTCCCCAAACCATCAGAGATATGCAACCTACTCCCATCTTCCAATCCACTGCAGGTGGTCCTCAAAGTATGATCACAATTGAGCCCAGAATTTATGTTGCTAAATGAGACATTTGCTAAGTTTTGCCCCATTTTACGATCTTTCTTGCCACAATTGTTAAGTGAGTTACTGCAGTTGTTAAGTGAATCTGGTTTATCCATTGACTTTGCTTGTCAGAAGATCATAAAAAAGGTGATCATATGATCTTGGGACACTGCAACCGTCATAAATGTGAGGCAGTTGCCAACAGTATGAATTTTGATCATGTGACCATGCGAATGCTGCAATGATCGTAAGTGTGAAAAATGGTCATAAATCATTTTTTTCAATGATGTTGTAACTTTCAACGGTCACTAAATGAATTATTGTAGGTCAAGGACTACACGTACTAAGTACAAAAAATTAATTGGGATGGAACATTTTGGAGCTATTATTATAAGTAACTTTGGTAAGTAGTAGGTAGGTAAGAGCTCATAACATCTAATTCTCTAAAGGTTCTAAATTACAAATCTTAACACCCAGCCAGTATGGCCAATAATAAGAAAAATTTGAAGATTTAATTAAGCAACAGCAGCTACATAAGTATAGGTAGGGAAGAGAAAAGAAATAGTTGGGTTGGTTAAACAAATGGCAAGCTACACTAGCATTTGGTTTGGATCACATCCATATGAATCTATTCCTGAAAAGGAAAACCTATGCCAAACACAACTGTACAAATACTGTACAATTTTCTCCTTTTACAACTTTTCTGTGCATGGAAGGGAAAATATTCTCTTCGGGTCAAATAGAGACCAAAGAAAGTTAAATCAGCTGCATGGGCATCCATTCTCTTAAAAGTGAATGTACATACCTCTATGTTCTTCAGTGAACAACTGCAATATGATGATTCACGTGAGAGTGAAGACAAGGCAAAACAACGAGGCACCTACTTATTTGTAATCACAGAGCGATGTAGACAAATAACTTCATTTTGTTCAGATTTCTGCATAGTAAGAGCACAGGCACAAAGCCCAATATTTAACTAGAGAGGACAATCACTAAACGTGCATTCACCTTGGGTGGCTTGAAGGTATTTCGAGGAGGAGGCAGCTTCCAATTAGATGGGATCCTCCACAAAGGCTTCACTTTAATGTCCTCATAGGGATTCTCTTTTGCAGGGTCTAGAAAAAAAAAGTATTTTGAAGCAGAGCATGGGTAGACAAACCAACCGCATACATTTGCCAATTACTATTTTTCTATAGGCACAAACTGGCATCAAGTATTACCCAACGAGTGACAAACAGAGGAATCAAAGGTAAAGATTGCCCTTGCGCATACGTGCTAGTCGTTCCTGGCTCTAGGGGGCGGTGCTCATCTCCGTTACAAAGCCGAAGAGCCAGTGCTGTCCGAAGACGTCTCCGTGGTCATGTGGCCGGCATGACTGAACGCTGAAAGCGCATGGATCGCTGTTACCTTCCCACCAAAGTGGTTCCTATTTCTCTACTTGCATTTTTACATGCTTTTGAACTGCTAGGTTTGCAGAAGCTGGGACAAGTAATAAATCATGGAGCTCACTCCATTACATGGTGCTAGGGATTTGAACCGCTGAACTGCCAGCCTTCCTGATTGACAAGCTCAGCATCTTAGCAAGTGAGCCACCAGGTTCCCAATCAAAGTAAATCCCCAAATGACTGTCTTTAATTTCTAGCTTCCCAGTGGAGGAGCTGTGTATATTCATCAGATAACTTTGAATATATTAGCACAGGAGATCAGAATATGTATTGCTCTAGAACTGAGCCGTAGCAGTTACTTTTCTTTCAGAAGGCTGTTTCTTGTCTCTTTTAAATAGATCTGGAATCTTACCAATAATATCCTCGTAGAGGTTGTCCTCTGACTGTGTGCAATAGAGACAGACAGGTGTGGTGCCATTTAGTTCTTCGTGAAGCTTTTGGTACTCGATGGCTGCTAGTCTGTTTCGATAACTTTGGATGTCCTCAAATTCAAAGGACTTTCTATAAATAAGAATAGGATATGTTATCACACATCTTAGGTGCAAAACCAAGCACTGCTATTCATCTCCTAGCTTTTTTTAAGTGTGCTACCTAGCAATGCATGAATTTTTAAAAATACTTATGTATATATAAATAATAATATGTATATTACTAATATGTATACACAAACAACCGATGTTTTAGAAAATAAAATTATGTGCACAATTTTTGAAAATCTGTCCTTCTCAATCTTCCACCAGCAATGTAGAATGGAAGAGGGGAGGGAGCCATCAAAGTCAATTTGATTTGATACTAAAGCACAGTTTATTTATCCAAGTCACACCTGCTTGGTGCTTCAGTTACATAATATAAATCATGAAATATAGTTTGCAAACCACAAAAACTGGAGTCTCACAATACTTTAAAACACACCAGATTTTTATTTGGTTTTATATTTATTCTTCTAAGGAAAAATAAGAGAACTTAGTTAGATAGTACAGTAGCTCTCTTGAATCTGGTGTCCCCTAGATTTTGGTAGACAATCAAATAGTAGTACCACCAGCAATATTTTAAGTGTGTTAAGTCTGTATACCATATCATTTTAATGCAGGTCTTAAAAAGCAAAACTGAAATGATAGGACCAACCCCATAGTACCGTGATGGTGAACCTATGGCACACGTGCCACAGGTGGCACATAGAGCCATTTGTGTGGGCATGCAAGCCCCAGACAAACTTACCTGCACTGAGCATGTGCACACCTCCCACTGATTTTCGGGCCGTTTGAGCCCGTTGTCACCCTTCTGGAGGCTCAAGGGAAGCCTCTGCAGCCTCGGGAGGCCGAAAAATGGGCCTTCCGGAAATACTGTAAGTGCCAAAATGCACCCATTTTTAGGCTCCAGAGGCTCCAGAGTCTTCCCTTGAGCCTCCAGAAGGGCAAAAATGGCCTCCCTTGAGCTCCAGAGGCTGTTCGGAGACTGAAAATGGACACTTCTGGAAGCCCCATTTTTTGGCCTCCTAAGGCTGCAGAGGCTTCCCTCAAGCCCCTGGTAGGGCGAAAATAAGCTCAAACGGGCCGACAATGAGCTGGGACACACGCGCATGCACAATGCAGATAAGGGGGAGGGGTGGGTGCATGTGCAAGGGGGGCTGGATGCATTGCATTGTGGGTGTTGGCACGTTATCGGGTGTGTACGCACTTTCAGCACACCACAACAAAAAGGTTCACTATCACTGCCACAGTATCATTCTCTCCAAGACAACACAACAAGGAATCTGAAAATCAGAATTTGTTGCCTGTAAGTAAACGATGAATGGGAGATATATTCTATATCTGGTTATACTCAGATACTTTATGTCTCCATGAGTCTGCAGGGTAGTTCTCAACCGGTGCTTTTACAACAGTTTAGAGTTACGATGATCTCAAAACCTGTGCTTTATGGCCTGTAAAATACTTGAGGCTATTGTAAAATGGTGCCCCCCCCCCCATGATAAAGTGACTGCATTTTGGGTGCTTGGTAACTGAATTGCCACTATGATCGTTTGCAGCACCCTGCAGTCACATGACTGCAATTTGGAATGATTTTTGCCAGTTTGTGGTGAGTTTTGTTGGTTTCTGGCAAAAAAAAAAGGCCCATTCAGGAGAATGGTTTCACTTAATGAATGTGATGTTTATTTAGCAGCCATGTGATTGCCCGACAACCACGAAAAATGTCAAAAACCTGTGATAAGTCATATGTGAACCTGGACTTATGACCAAAATGATTTATGACTAGATTTCCAGTCCCAATTTGATTATAAACTGAGGGCTACCTGTTTCTATATTTAATATAATGTAATTGAATGTAATTGAACAGAAGGAGGACAGGGATGAGCCTAGAGTCATTCTCATTGCAGCACTTGTAACTGGCTGGTTTGCCTTTTTTTTTGCTGGCTGATGACTTGCACAAAAGGAAGAATAGGAAAGTCAGAGGAATCAGTCAATCTCTTTGCCCATCACACACTGCATATGCATAACCAAGACAGCAACATGGACAACAGAGACAGGATAGGGATTGGCAATAGGAGCAGAAAATATCAGTATAATTTTCTGCCACCTTAAAAGATCAACAGATAGCACTTTATTTCAACAGAGGGGAATAGCTCTTAGTGCACGATACGAACCGTATCAGTGATAGATCATCCTTCATTTCACAGGATCAAAAATGTGAAATACATCTGCAATTTCTGAAAGGTGTTCGTTTTTCAAGTCAGCTTCCATACACACTAATAAACTGTCATATTCCACTTTAAAAGAAATTTCTGCACCAGGATAATCTACATCATGCATAAATGCTGAATCTGACATGTGTAAATGTGTTTATCTTTCAAACACAGTCATATCAGGGACTGCCTACCCATTTTAGTCTTATTTTATGATTACCTAGCTTCCTGTTACGTAGCAACAAATGCAATGTTTTCATTTTCAAGGCTGAAATTCTATTTTAATGCAACACTTTGCATGCCAAAAATAAAAAATTAAAGGCATGTCCTATAAAGCAGGGATTGCCAACCTTTTGGACCTCAGGGACCACCAAACTCATAATTTAAAAACCTGCGGACCACTAATATGAATTTTGACTGACGGTGGCTTGCTGACGTTGGTGGGAAAGTTGATCCCCTATTCCAGAGCTGCAGTAGTCATAGGACTGGCCCTTTGGTCGTCGCGGAGCAGCTGCTCCTTTACCCGGGTGCATCGGCCTGCCAGGGACTGGAGAAGCTGCTCCAGGAAGATCAAAGGGCCAGTCTTGTGACTACTGCAGCTCTGGAATATGGGACCGACTTTCCCACCAATGTCAGCAAGCCAACCTGGGGTGGAAATTACCTGTCCCGCCGTTGGTCTTACCTTCCAGTTCCAGCTTGCGTGACTCTACTCAAGGTAAGGTTTGCGAAGGGTGGGGGCCAGTGAGTGGGTGGGCCATGTGGGTGGCACAGCCTTGTATTCCCACGCAGCCTGGATTAATTGCTTTGGGGGGTGTTTGGGGGGGGACATTTCTCTGCAGACCACCAAAATTTTCCCGCAGACCACCAGTGGTTCCGGCCCACCAGTTGGCAACCACTGCTATAAAGCACCTACAAGGATGCATGCTAGTACACAGTTTTTTTGCAACTACTGCAAAAATTAACATTTTCTTCATTCATTTACTCCACTCCAATGAACAAAATTATGAAGCAAAATTATGAAAGTAAATGGAAGCAATTTTCTAAATGGAAAAATGTTTGTTTTCTCAAGAATTATGCAAGCTTCCTCGTTAATGTTTATAGGAGAAAAAATGACCTACTGATTGACTGATTATGTGCGCTAACAAGTCAGTGTTGACTCTTGGCAATAAAATAATGATGATGATAATAATTCAGTGACACTGGACAGTTTGCAAATTATTAAAATAATTTAAGAAACAAGTAAAAATATAAGAAACACAAAACAAATAATCAAACATAGCAGGGAAAACAAACCCAGTTGGGAACAAGGAAAAGGAAGAAAAATGGTGTCCATCGTCTTGTCAAAGTTCTGGGCAAAGAGTCACTTCTTCAGGGCCCTTCAAAATGGCAATGGGGGGCGGGGGGAGAGCAGTCAAAACTCTTTGGGGCGGGGTCATTCGAGAGAGTAGGCACTGCAATAGAGAAGGAGACTTCTGGGGTCCTGAAAGATGACGTTGTTTAATCAATGGCATCCGCAGCATCCCAACCCAGCCAGATCAAACCAGTTGGACATACAATGGGAAACAATGGGTGGTTCCACAAGTAACCAGGACGTTTGCCATGTAGCCCTTATAGGAAGTGACCAGCACTTTCAATCATACCTGGAAGCAAATTGGCAACCAATGCAGCTCATGAAGCAGCACTGCTACATGGGCATACCAAGGCTGTCCACACTACTGTATTCTGGGCCACCTGAAGCTTCTGATTATTTTAAGGGCCACCCCATATAGAGCACCACATAAATAGATTTTCTCCACCAATTACATACTACTCCAGAACACAACAGTCTTAATAACTGCTTGCAACAAACAGAGCAAATTAGATTCCTCCCCTACAGAAGAGGTCAAGCTTCAACCCACCTCTTAGACCTGCCTCGGATTCCTCTGCTGCCTGTTCTGCGGTCAGACTCATGGGAGGCAGTTGCAGGATAGATCCCATTACACAGCTGTTCCAATGGCTTCTTATTGCTGGGATATCCATTAGCAAAGTTTGCCTGGTCCTTCTCAGAATGGTAACGGAAAGTCCTCTGCGGTTTGGGCACTGGGTTGATGGCTGGCCGCCTTTCCTGACCTTCCACATCACAATATATTGTCTCCAGGCTCTTTGCTGGAGCTACATTCAGCTCCTTCTCTGTCGAACCACAGCTTTCCCGTTTCCTTTTTAAGTCCAGTGCAACAGAAGCTTCTTCATCAAAAGGAAGAGTTCCTATCTGTTTCCATAGGCCCCGTGAGGTGTAGAAATTCCCAGGGGGCAGTCTCTCCCGTGGCCATTCTGTAGCATCTGCTGTTTCAGATAAAGTGTCACTAGAAAGTTGCTCCACTGAATGGTTTCTGGAAATCTCTTGGAAGTGATGGTCCTCCTCCTCCTCCTCCTCTTCCTCCTCAGTCACAGAGCCGAGATTAGAGTTTTCCCAGAAATCTAAACCTAAACTCTGAACATTTGCTTCTATGCTCTTGTCAGGTGCAGGAGCCGACGGCTTTTCCCTGCTGTCGAGGCCATATCTGACCCCAAAATCCTTCAGTTTCTGCCTTTCTTCTTGGCAGACCCCTTTTGTCCGACCTTCCCACTGAGAAATCTTTTGCTTTATGTTCCGGCAGTGGCTACGGGACAAGGTTTGCACAGCCGTACGGGAAAAGCTGGTATCTACACTCCCTGTGGGGTGCATGGCAGGCAAGCTAAACTCATAAGAGCCCCATCACAGCATGCTGCCTTTGGATATATATTAGAGATTAGAGAATTTCCAAAACTCAAATTCCTTTTCGTTAATTATATCCAGTTTGTGGAATGATCCAACTTTTGCAGAAAGAAGGGCATCCTGATGCTATACTGTAGAAAAAGAGACAAAGGACATTTATCAAGACTAGAAGGCCCAATCAGATAATGTCACAACAAATAAATTATTTTCCACAAGACTCCCTTATTAAAAACAAACAAAAAATTATGATCTTCTCTCCTTATACTGCAGAGCAACAGACCTAGATTTCCAGCCTATTCACCGATAAAAAATATGTAACTTTTTCATTACTCTCAGCTAGTTTGGTGTAGTGGTTAGAGCATCAGACCAGAAACCAGGAGATTGTGAGTTCTTGTCCTACCTTAGGCACAAAGCGACCTGGGGTGGTCGACTATCTCTCAGCCATAGAAAAGAGGCAATGGCAAATTACTTCTTAAAAACCTTGCCAAGAAAACTGCAGGGTCTTGTCTCTAAGAACTGAACACAACAGAATGGGAAAAAAATATACATTTGACAGAAGTTGCAAGTAATACAAGCATTTTAGCCAATGAATTTGTATGATGTACACCAGGGGTGTCAAACTTACATCATCATGGCAGCGTCACTGTCACCTGACATATCAGGATTTTTTCCCCCTTCGCTAGACCAGGTAGGGGCTCAGCCAGTGTGTAATGTGTCCAGCCCGCAGGCTGGGAGTTTGACAGCCCTGATGTACACTCATCTGATTCTCAAAAATACCCTTTTAAGAATATCTCATTAGATATTCTTAACACGTACTATGTTCTATATTTGTGATACAATTAAAACAGTGCTAAGAGAAGAAGAAACCCACCATCATATTTATGAGAATTGGCTTTATATCAACTTACAACTTCGCTCCCAAATCTAGAAATTTAGCACTGGATGAAGTCAAGAATATAGGTAAGAAAATCTGACCTAGAGAAATGAGCTCAGCCACACTGAAATTTCCTTGCCTATAGAGTTGAGTATCAAATTGAAGCAAATTTGAGAACAAAGTAAAAGATAGTTCCTCAGCCACTGTTACTACTACTGTCTTGGATATTCAAACAGTAGTTGCAGAAAAATTACCATTAAAATCAAAACGCTTCAACAGTTCAAGTCAAAGGATTGGAAGCTCATACCTATTACATTTGAAGCTGATAGAGACTTGCATTAATCTCAGGGTGAAATGTCAAACGAAGTCCTTCTTCGTTGTGATGTGTAGCTCTTGCAAACTGGGTTCTTCCCAGTATCAACCAGATCTCCAAGCTAATTTGTGGCCTTGAGGTATGGCTCTAAATAAAGAATAAAATGAGCACCGTGGAAAGGCTTTACTGCTTCACTGTGCAATTTCTCCCACCTATGCTGATCAGCTGTTAGTCTATCTCTCTTTGAATTCACCCACACAAAACATTTGTGCAAAGTGAGGAGTGAGACTGACAGATGGCTAAACCCATCAGCCTATCTATCTGTCAAAACCTGTCTCTTGCCCTACTCCAGCCCTTTTCTACATGAAAGCTAATGATTGATGGGTGCTTTTCCACCAGTCAGTAATGCTTTGCAGGCAGGAAAGGAAATAAATGCCTTCCCTTAAAATGCCCTGCACCCTTCAAATGAAGACACCACCATTTGATGGCAGACCAGAATAAGCAGAATCAAAATTTGAAGTAAAGGAGTAGATGTTATGCTGATATTGTTTCCTGCTGCTTGCCAAAGGCTGTTTGATAATATTTTATGCAGCAGAAGCCCTTTGTTTCACAAAACCAATATGAGATATTGGTACAATAAGTACAATCACACAGTACCCTTGCACTCTGATGCATTCCAAAGCACCATTTTGGAACTAAATTCAAAGCACTGCTCGGTCCTAGAATTCACCCATTTTGTGGTTGGCTACATGAGCTAACCAGCAACTGACAAACGTCATTGTCACAGCAAGTCACTTTCTAGTTGCTGAGATCCCAAGCTATAACTGAAGAGTGAAATGCAGGAGCATTGTACCAAAATTAAGAAAACCCTTCACTCTTGGAGTTTTCAGAATATAAAAGATTGTCTGTGACAAAGTCCAGCTCTGTGACAGCTTCATCCCAAATTACACTTATTTTTTTCCTTTTTAAAAGAAAAAAAAAAGATTATTTTAATTCCTACGAATCTTAACATACTTATTTTGTTCCTTGATGCCCCCCTCCAAATAGATAAAAAGTGCCCTACTTATTTTGGCTCTTTTTTGACATCACTACATATATCCTCTACAGCAGGGGTGTCAAACTCCATTTCATTGAGGGCTGCATCAGGGTTGTATTTGACCTCTAGGGGCTGAAGGGGCATAGCCAGGAGGTGTGGCCAGCTTCATCAAGGCTCTGTTTTCAGCTGCGACATCCTCCTGCAGCCCTCTGCCAGTGAAAACGGAGCTCTACTCTACTCTGAGCTGCATTATCACTGGCAGAGGGCTGCAGGAGGCCATCGTGGCCAAAAATGGAGCACAGGAGGCCCACGCATGTCCTTCCCGAGCTCCATTTTGCTGGCAGAGGCACCATGGGCTGGTCCTTTGCTGTTTCCAGGCAGGCCCACAAGCCAGATCGAAGCATTCTGTGGGCCAGATGTGGCCCACGGGCCTTGAGTTTGACACCCCTGCTCTACAGTCTTTAGAAGACCAAAAATGGCACTGAAAGTAACCCTACCATGCAAAAACTTGCCAACACCAAATATAGATGTATACTGAAATGAGGTTTCCAAATGGAAAACCTCATGCCTGTATGGATGGCATATTTAATCCAACCCTTATCTGACAAATAGGGACCTCAGTGATAGAAAATACTGTCAAATTAGTAAAGATTTCCTTGACCTCTAATCCCTATAGATACCCCAGGCCTTCCCCAAATATCACTGACATAATCCATAGAGATCTCACACAATTTCACAGTGCTCATCCTGTACCACAAGGCAGTTCTCATTCTCTCAGACAGTTCTGTTCCTATTATCAGTTCAGACTCTCTTTTCTAGCATTAAGAATTAGAATCAGAATTAAGTACAATTAAACCTATCTAGAAACAACATGGATAGGAATCGAAGAAATCACTCTGTTCTACATTCCTTTTGTCTATATTCCTCCTGGCTTGATATAGAGCAGCAACAAGGCCATTCTTCAGAGGAGACTGGCATCAAGGGCTAATGATTTTCAAAAGATCCATGGAAATTTTGGAAACCAAAGAAGGATACAGTAGTGTAACATGCAGGGGTAGAAATCCTCTCACAAAATGTGAAAAATTTATAACTGACAATGCAGGATTCTCATACAAAGGGGAAAAGAAAGTAGCGTTGCCTGTATGATTCAGATCTTTACAGTGATTCTTTCCCTCAATGCTTCCCTGTCATTTCTCTTTTCAACACCAGTCTAACTCCTGCTTCAACCCACATATTTAGCTAATCCTGGGAATCTTTTTGAAGCTTTTCTGATCTACCTTGCAAAGCAGGTGTCATATGATTGTTACATCCATTAAGAGACTGATTCTGCTCACATAACTTAGTTAACTGAGTTATGGTTTAATCAACTCTGTTTCTGGGCTAGTCCAACATACTGAACTGCAAATTAAACAAATATTGCTCGTAAGACACACTAGAATAAATATATGACTCTGTTTGTTATAAAATCTAACCATTGTGGCCACTTCAATAGTATGTTATGTAAACCCAGGCAATCAGGTTAATTCAATGCCCTATAAGTTAAGATGTGGTAGGAACAGATCATGAAATAGCCACATGAGGTAAAAGAAGGTGATGGCAAACCACTACTGAAAAACCTTGCCAAGAAAATTGCAGGGACTTGTCTAGATGGTCTCTGAGAATCTTCCAGTCAATAATTGAATGGATTTTTTTTAAAAAATGATGTCAGCAGGACATGATTACAATATCATGAAAGGGTGAACTTTTTGAACACTGGTATTTAAAAAAAAACTATTGTAGAATCGTCTACTTTGGACAAATTAAACTACTGCTGAACTTTCTGTCTTTACGTGAGGAAATAGCATGCACCCAAAATTAAAGCTTTAAATAAAAATAAAGCTTGTCTTTATAAAATGCCGGAGGTCAGTTTTTGGTTCTCATTGCCTTTCAGTGATCCCTTCTACATTTTCTCCTGACCAAATGACATTCTTTGAACATTGGACACAGTCCATATTAGTCTAATGGCATGTCTCGTTTTTAAAGGAAGACCAAATCTACAATTTTCACTACAACAGGGTAGCAGGATAGCACTTTAGTATGTTGCTCTTGAAATCTGATAAAGTTTTCAAATATGATCATATCCTAATCTATCTCAGGAGAAATACTGGCTATTCTTGTTCAAGGCCCAACCCTTCATGAGCCTCCACACCCAATGGAAAGAATAGAATACTAGTATTTGAACTTGCACAGGCTTGCAAACCATGTAACTGTATCTGTCATCAGAATAGGTGACTTTTGTCCTGATAAGGTCTACTATCCTGTTCTGGTAAGGCACCTAGTGGACAGAATATCTGCTAGTCTTCAATGGAAAGTTGTGGCTATGACTAGCAAGCTGTGTCTGGCCAAAACACTGACAGAAAAGCCCTACGGAATGACAGTTATCATAGAACCATGTTTAATTGGCTCATCCCCAATTTTTTTACCTATCAAAAACAGAATCAAAAGCCATCCTCCTGTAACCTAGATGCTGTAACTGGAATCTCTATTAAAGAGTTACAGGATACCAGCTGAACATGGCCACATTCAGACCACCAGAAGGTCTGCTTTTCTGACAGCATTTAAGTTCTCCTATTAGAAAGACAGACGGTCTATCTAAGTGAAGCCACCCTCAAGAGAACTGAAGACTTAACCATTACAAACTGAAACAGCCTCATGGAAGTTTTAGGAAACCTTTTAACATTCAGTGACCTTATAAAGTAAGATGAGCAATCTACAAACGTCACAAGCCTAAGTGTGACTGACAAAAGACAATTCTTCCACTGTGGTAATTGATAGTGTCTGAAGCAGCAAAATGGAACAAATGAAGTCAGATATTGAACCTTCCTTTGGTTACCAGTAAATAACATTTTTGCAAGAACAGCTAGATCAC